ATCTATCTATCACTTAATACAGGTGTTTATGAGGACCCTGTAAATTGTTTACTTTTGTCCTTTTTTTTACGTTTTGACACCTGTTTTTTTTTCATATAATTTGTAAGTTGTATCTCTAGTAAAGTCCATACCAGATTAGTTTTTTTGCATTAAAAATCACCTAACAACCTAAACTATAGAAGAGCCAAATTAATCTATAGATATTCCCTATAAATTAAATCAATAAGGATCATGTTTTTACTTAAATAATCAAATTCATTAAGATTCTCCTAAAAATAGAAAATATTTAGTGAAATAACCCTAATTTAATAAGATTATGCTTAATAAATCCCAAAAATAACCAAAACAGTTATAAAAATCTATACAATTGTATGATAATTATTAACAAACATCTTTAAGGGTCCAAACCAAAAAATCCCTATGAAATTCTATGAACTTGTATAAAAGTTACAATGATTATCCTATATTAGCCTAAACAATTTCAATAAGAAGTCAATCCTAACAATAAATGAGGTAATTTTACTCTAATTTAAATAAAAGGTCTATAGTTTATTTAATTTGATATAATAATATCTATTAACAAACAATATTTAACTGACTTGGAGAAGAAAACCCGGAAACAAAATAAGTTATGACATAATCAATTATAATGGCCATTTACAGTCCAAGGGAGAGAACTGTGAAAATGGACCTCGCACTGATTTTTCAGCATGCAAATTAAATTAACTGAATAAGTAGTTCTATACACACAAGATATATCCAATATATATTGAATACAACTTATTGAGAGTTTAAAAGAGTTAATCTAACCAATTACAACATAAGATTCTTTAATAGTATTTGGAAAAAAAAGAAACTTTTATAGCCAATAAATGAAAATACCACTAAATAGAAGGAGTTATCTGCTCTCCCCTTTATAACAAATACATATATGACTTATATGACACTATGATATGTTTTAAACTTAGTTTGTGTAAATATAATCATATGAAAAGTGCTGTGATAGGTCTACAATGTTAATAAAATTCTAGAAAATGTCCTTAAAACTACTTTATTTAATGATTATTCACTCCTTAAATATAACACTTAATTATAACATGTCAGAAGAAAAATTAAACATAATATGATAAATGTTGAAACCCTGATAAAATTATTTGTTTACCTGGGTGCCAGACCATTACTTTAAACCTTAAAAAAATCGAGCCGCGTCATGACAAAAACAACATAGAGTGTCAGTTCATGCAACTAGCATGGATCCAGACAAGCCTGCGCATCTGCGCAGTCCGATCAGGATCCATGCTGTTCGCTATCAGTATCTCTACTTGTTATAGGGTTTGTAAGCGAACAGCATGGATCCTGATCAGACTGAACGGATGCGCAGGCTTGTCTGGATCCATGCTAGTTGCAAACACTCTATGTTCGTTTTGTCATGACGCGGCTCATATGTTAATAATCTTATTATTTTCTATATATCTCAATAAACTAGGTAATTTATAGTCTTTTTACTCCCTACAGTACGCGCCTCCTCCATGAAAAAATATAAGTTTAATATAGTTTTTAATCTTCTTTTACTTTTAAAAAAAACTTAATGAGAAATTGTTTATTTAAGCTTAAATCTACTTCTTTTGATATATTAAAGACATGTTCAGATATAAATAAAAACATGTTGGTACTTTATGTTAGTTGTACAAATATATGTATGTCTATTGGCAATCTAATGCTAAATATTACATTGTTAAATTAATATTAGTTAATAGGAGATAGACACCAAGAATTCAAGATTGTGCAAAAAACAGATACGTTACCATTTTTCCAATTGCTTTCAGAGACTAGATAAAAATACTTAGCATGAATATACACAATTAGAAAAATTTATTATCAAAAAAAAAAATTATTTTAAAAAAAAAATCCACGTCAAACTGAAGCTGATGAAAATGTTACTTATTAATCAGACTGTTTATTCCAAATACATGATTTACTTATAAAAGCATTTTAGGTCAATAAAAATACTGATGTTCCATACTTATTCTATTGACACAATGTTGCTCGGATTTACTTAACAGTATAAATTTATTCCGCTTAGTGGAAACGAATATTAAAATCATAGTAACGTATCTGTTTCACCGTTCTACTATGAACAAAATTATGAAAAACCCTGAACACGTAGATAGATATTCATAAAGTTTTTTAAACAACTGAAGCCAATAAATAAATATGTCTGAACAGTACTTAATATTAAATAGAACACACAAAATCTTTTCCAGTTTTTAGGTTTTATTGTTTTTCTGACTGAATTTCAAAATAGTCAAATAACATTGTGAACTTTAACAAGAACATTTAAATAAAAGACACCCATCTATTAGAATATGTAACAGCTAGATTAATGTGAGTGTTTCATAGTGTGAATTGACACTTCTGTATTTCGTTTGTCTTTTTGGTTCATCTGCTGTCCATTGTTCTTATATACTGGTACAATCTCGAATCCTTGATTGTTCATACTTGGTGATATGAGTAAACTTACATGTATATGCTTATCTAAATTTAACAAAATTATATCAGAAACAAATGGTACCGCTTAAAAAGAAACCAACTTAGTTTATATCAATCCATATATATGTGCCACCTCCAAGATTTGTCTTATCTCAAATTATGTTCATTCCTACCATAGACAGACTATCTTGATACGACGCTGACTAAAATTTGGAAACTAACGGCATTCATTTAACCCTTTACCACATATATACGCGAAACAACGCACTTTCGACCCCTCCCCCCATTTTTGGGCCTCAAATAGGAAAAAAATGTCCTATTTGGGCCCCAAACATAAGTTTTCGTTTGAGAGATGTTGCTAAAAAAATTGAGCACTTTTTCGGCGCCGCCCCCCATCCAAAAGATACATCAGGGGTTGCCAGAAGGGGGATGTGCCCCCTTCTGTTAGGGGTGTTTGAAGGGGGGCGGAGTCCCCCTCATCGCCAAGAAAATTTTGGACTTGTGAGAGGCTAAAAATGACCCCAGGTCGATCATTAATGTAACGTTTAACCAACGCTGAAAAGCCTTTGACTTTATCTCAATCCCTTGAGAAGTTGCAGCACTTTGAAATAAATTTTGATGGAAAAAATCGAGGCAAAATAGTGATTTTGGCAATTTTGAGATGCCCCCTCGTTGCCATGGTAACAGGAAATTTAAGACTGAGCATGTCGTTACAAAGGCAATGGTCCAGTCAACATTTGTGCCAAGTTTGATTAGTATTGAAGCATTTTTCATAGTTTCATAGCAGTTTGAACTTGTAACAGGAGGCTTTTCAGTGAAAACGGCAATTTTTCACAATATGCTCATGGGGGAAAGGGTTAAAAATACTTCAATATGTTGTTTTTTTCATCACAGTGCCGTTATATACCGTTTAAGTGGTTTTTTCTGCGGTGACTTTATTTCTGGGGTCAGTTTCAGCACCGCAGAAATAAAAACCGCAGAATATTTTTCCATGTTTTTGTTTTTAGCCTGGTACTATAATATTATGTGCACTGCATTATGACCTGTTTCATCTAAACTTTAAAAGTAATAACAACTCACGGATTATAACGGTTAGTGGGTTTTCAAATTGAATAAACTGTTGTCTGCAAAGTATGTATTCTGTGTTTGTTTGTAAGGATGTACTTATTGTTAATTATTTTAACTTAAGAATAAAAATGTTTAAACAGCATGTAATTTATAGTGTTTGCCGATACACTAAAGGTTTGTTTATCACTAAATCATTCAAACCATTTCAACCCTTATACTGCTAAATAATCGTCGAATACTTTAATTGTCATCTGATTTACGATATTGCAATTCAAGATACTACCGGGGTATATTTTTCACACGTCATTTCAGGCAGATCAAAGAGGCATACTTTTCTTTTGTTGCGCATTAAATTTGTTTGCAAGCAAACAATTGTTTGTAATAACTGTACAGTTTTTTGGTGACGACGATAAACAAATGCGAATGTGTACATGAAAATAAACTAGAGAAATGTTACTTAGATAAGGGAAGTCGCAGAAATTAAATCACGTTTTGTCCAAAGAATGTGCCGCAGAAATAAAGTCCGCAGAAATAAAAACATGCCAAAATTTGGAAAAACCGCAGAATTTGGAGCCCGCAGAAAAAACCACTTATACGGTATTGCCTAACCATATATTACTAATTTAAACCAAAGTTTTGTTGAAGATTTAGCTATATATATTTAACAGTACTCAAATCTCTTTCTAAATAGATACGTCACAATGATAAACAGATACGTTACCACCCATAAGAAGATGTTTCATGCGAAACATCTAAGCTCTAGCACATTGGGTTGATTAAAAAAAGATTTTTTAAGTTTTTACTATACACATATAGTTAAAAACAATGACACCCCTGGGGCGGGGCCAGTTTTGACCCCAGGGCTTTTATTTGAACAAACTTTGTAGAGACTTACTAGAAGATGTTTTATGCTTAATATCTAAACTTTAGCTATTTGGGTTTTTTCAAAGAAGATTTTTAAGTTTTTGCTATCGGGACAAGGTGAAATTTATGTAAAGTGTAGCTCGTCAAACTATGATTGTTTGATGGGGTGGCATAATAAACATGCACAAGTAGCTTTCTTTCTATTTAAAGATATACTATATGCTCATCTTTGAGTAAAATATTTTTACCGCAGAAATTCATTAAAATCTCTAAAATTCTTAATAAATATATCTAATTAGAATAGAAGAATGAACAAACTATGTATTGGAAGCTGCATTCCCTATAACAGTTATACTTTCTTTAAAAAAACCCCAAAAAACTGCCAATTTATATTTTTAAATGGCACTAAATGTATATTTCATATTGTGTCCACATACAGTGTGTAGAGTCTAAAACAAACCATATCTACTTACTGTGAAGTCAAAACTTATTTACTTTATCTTTACTAAGAGACAGAGAAGCAATTATCGATATTTTCATAAGCAAAGTAAGACTTAAAAATAAAAATAAAAAAATAATATGGTTTTGATGGTTTAATTATTTCTATATCATTAAACAATCCATAAAAATACATACCTTGTATAGTTATTTGTATAAAATACTACTATCTAGTCAATTAAAACTCAAACAAAAAACATTTGAATAGTATCCTGTCATATACATTAACAGAAGCTTTAAATTAAAATAAAATATAAGATCCAATCTATAATAAAATAAAATGTAAATATACATGTACTTCCAACATAACAATTATCATAGTGAATTCTACTAAATTCCCTTATGGTTTATGCAGTCACAGAAATAGGAGGGATGATCCGGAATTACCCGGAATTAATCCATAGACTCAATAAAATGTATTTAAAAGTTAATATTACAAACATTATCTTTAAGAAATAATATACATGTATCCCAAAAACTGATTTTGTCACTTAATAAATTCACTGTTTAGAGTTCAAATGCGAGGAATTATATCACGAGGGCGTAGCATATTTACACACACCTTTGGTCTTTCTATCTTCAATATGGTCTTTCTATGTATGTTCAATATGGAAAAATGCTGATCATGTCGAATAATATGTAATATAACCTCTTTTCAGAAAAAAAAAATAGAGCACATCACTTAGCAAAGTGTCTTAAATTCTATACAGCAATCAAACACAATCTTTGTCACTCCACTCTCCATTATTGCCTTAATTTTGACTGGGAACCTATGGTACACCAATTATACCACTCTCTTATTGCCCCAATTTTGAGAGGGAACCTGCTGTACACCAATTATATCACCTTTCCTTATTGCCCCAATTATTAAAGGGAACCTGAGGTTCACCAATTATATCACTCTTCCTTCTTGCCCCAATTTTGAGAGGGTAACCTGTGGTATACCAATTATATCACTCTTCCTTATTGCCCCAATTATTAGTGGGAACCTGTGGTGCACACCAATTATATCTTAAACGTTGATCTTTAACTGCATTTCTAGATTTAAATCAACACTTGTGGAATTGGAAGGAAATGTGACTTAAATTATTGATTTTTTAATATCGGACACTAAATACACCTCTTACCATACAGCTTCAAGATCAAGTATTTTGTTCTAATTAGAGAGGTGGATCGACTATCACAACCAGGCAAGGAATGTTTTACATCACAACTCATATTCCTTCCATTTATAGTTAGTATTACTGAATTTTACCCGTTTAAATGTATTCAAGCAAATAATTGCTTTTAACGCCGTGAAATAAATAATTCAAATTTTACTAATATTTTCTGCATAATTGCAATTTTCAAACGAAAAAGACAAAAGTTAGACAATCTAATTTAAACAATTTGCAGCAGATCAGTGGAAAATTTACTTCAAATTTACTAAAAGGACAAAATCATTTTAGTAAATTGTACAGTAAAAAAACAACACTTTCCTTTAAGCAAGATCTGCACTATGAATACTAGTAATTGTCAAAATCTATATGATCTAGATACTAATTCTTAACAATATCATGCTACACACTGTCTTTTCTTCAGATGAATATTCCGCGTCTTTTCATTTTTAAACATAACCTCACATTTCTCACACATGATGGCTGTATCCATCGCATGAACTTTGACATGTTCCTTTAGTTGAACATTCCAAGCTGCAGCATATTTACACTGTGTACATTTGTATGGTTTTTCTCCTGTGTGTGTACGCATGTGGGAAACCAGCTGGTATTTTTGAACACATGTGAAAGTGCACTGGTCGCAACTAAAGGGGTGTATATCTGAAAAGACAAAACTTAACTTGTAAAGAGATTTTGCAAAGTAAATTAGGTAGTCTACATACATGTAGTATATGTAAACAAAATATGGAATTTTGTTTATGTCCGACAAAAATTGTCAGAAATGAATTCAAAATCCCTGTCATAAATCAAGAGATTTATTTGTTTTTTTGTCTGTTTGGTTCTTTATGCAAACTTCAACATATTTGATTTCAAGAGAACAAAAAAATCTCCTTACATTCAATAACAAAGCTTGCTTATTTGTTAAATATAAATTCTGTCATTATCCAAAATGTAAAATGGCATTATAATGCAAGCGGTTACAATAACTGACTACTTTAAGTTCAGTCTAGTCAGGTACTTGATTGGATACAGAGGATATTGAGGGTCTTTTTCAACAAGCAAACCAATAAAGTCAGCATGTGACGTCATCATAGGTAATCCTGGTGCCAAAAATTCTGACAATAAAATTGAAACTTGTATTTCACAAGAATTTGGCGTGCAATAAGAACATTTTACAGACATATAATATGTAAATACATGTTGCTTCATAATTGATATTATCACATCATTATTATATCTACTGGTACTTACTGTCATGGCTGTAGAGATGTGTTTTCAATCTTTTAAATGATTTGGCAGCATACGGGCACTTTTCACACTGATATTTTCTTACATTTTCGTGTTTATCATGAACATGTTTATTCATACCACCTAATGTGATAAGTTGTCCACATATCTCACACTGCTCCTTCGAGGCACAATTCTTCTTATGGTGCTCAAACTCCTCCTTCTTTAATTGATATTTACCTGAAATAGTAAGAAAAGAAGGGATATAAGTATGAAAGAAGAATTATATGTTTTAGCCAAGCAATTAAAAACTGAGAATTTAGATGTCTTTTGGTTTGTATAGAATTTATCTTATTTGATTGCCAAGGAAGCTATAAGCTTATAGACACTATTTTGGATCCTTTCCTGGAACCAACCAGTACTGAGCAATGAGTGTAAAGTTTCTTGCGGGCTTTTTTTTTTTTACAATCATGCAAACTAAATGACCCCTAGAACATAATTATATCATTTTAGTTGAGATTCATTAGTTAATCATGCATCCAATATATCTAGTGACGGCAAAGCTTACTATCTAAGGCATGATGGCTGTGTAGGTCCAAACCTGATCAGGGGCAAGCCATTGTTTCCCAAAGCAAGACATTTAAACACTCATTGCCTAGTACTGGTTTGTCACAGCAACATATTCAAGAGAGCATCTATTAATTTATAGCTTCCTACACAATGGAACTGAAATAAATTCTGTATAAACTAAATATCTTATTCTTGACCATAAAAGTGTCACATAAAAAGTGTTTCCTATGTATAAAATACTAAGTAAACGATCCCTTAGAGCAAGACCATATTAAATTTTATCTAACAAAATCTATTTTAGCCAACTCTGACATTGAAAAAAAATTGAACTGAAACCCCACAAGTTTATGACTACATGGTTTAAAACATAACAAATATCAAAAAAAAAAATTAAAAAATTATCACTTTTACTCTCAGTGACTTTGACCACACTTGCACGAAATGGTTGATGTGATATGATAAACAGTTAAGTTTGACTGAAGAAAGGAAAGTGAATGAAAGAACTACTCACTTTGTTTACAGGCCACACAGTATTGGCAAAGCTCTGGATGAACCTTCCTCATATGATCTAATCTATCACCTACACTTTTGGACAGGTCAGGACAAAATCGGCATCTCCATTCAGGAACATCATGAACTCTCCCCATGTGGTTCCTCTTACTTTCAATTGAATGAGCAGAAGTACCACAAATTTCACATACAAATAACGCCTTTACAATATTACAGCATTTTATTCTATGTTCACGTAAGTCTGCTTTACAGTAACCAATATACTGACAATTGTCACATTCCAAAGCTTTATTTATATGCTTTTCAATGTGATTTTCTATTACATCTTTAGTGGAACATTTGAAATGTTGACAAACCAAACAAGAGTACAGATTCTCACTTGCATCTATTCCACGATTCTTTCTTTCAAAAGACTCCATTTTTTCAGTTCGATATTTGTCTTCATGATCTGCTAATTGAATTTTGATCCACGGCTTTTTTATTTCTGCCACCTTCTTTTGTTTCTTTGTAGTAGATTTCTTTTTCATTCCCTCTTTTCTTGTTTCATATTTGCGCTTTTTTGGAATCTTTTTAGACTGTTCATCAGTGTTAGGTTCAGCAACACTCTTGTTTCCTTCAGTTATTTTAGTATCAATTACATGTACATCATCCCCACTTTCGTCCCCATCACTTCCATCATAATCAGCTGCAAATGAAATATCAAAGTCGGGATCTTTTTTGTTTTTTCTCACATATTTTGTACCTCGAACAACTTTGGACATTTTAGACTTCAAATTTTCTTCAATTTCTGTCTCACCTTTCCATTCTAATGCAGCATAATTAGGTCTGAAGCCCTTTTTCCTCATTCTTGCACTTTTAATAACACAATCCTGTGAATCGCTGTCACCGACTTCTGGTATTTTCAAGAGATTTCTGGCATTATTCAGCTGATTAAGCACCTCTGTAAACTCTTCATCAGTTGCTGAATCCGTTGCTGAATCACTGATACTACCAGCCTCTTCTACATCATGTAGTACTTCCATCTTTACCTCCCCATCACCATACCTAAAACAGTTCAATAAAATTTAACAAATAACTGTTTAAATTAAAAATAGGTCACAGTAAATTTTATATGCTCAATTGATAAGCCTACAGTCATTCAAAGCCAAATGAATGCAGCCATTCACATTTATTATATGTCACTGATTTTTTGAACATCTAAAACCTGCCTAAATTCCACTTGGAAAATCTGCCATGTGGCTACTTACTTGATTTCTCTTTATTCTTTAATAATCTAATTATGATGAAAATATTTAGTCATATACAATGCAAGTTCAGACAAATAAGTTACAATAATGGCAAAGTCATTAAGTGCAACCTAGCAGGTACAACTCTTGACGTTTTTTTTTTTTTTTGAAATCAAACACATAATGAAGATGATCCATTAAGAATTAAATAAATAATATTCACTGTTGATGTTTTTTGACAGCAACAACAACCTGACTGAGGCAATAGCTCAAAAATTTTCTTTGAAAAGGTTGAGGTTATAACAGTAAAATAACTGAGAATTATTGTGATGGCAGTAAAACAATAAACAATTTGATTGAAATCAGCTCCTGATTTTAAAGGATACTGAATGACTGTACATTTAATACTAAATTTATTAAAGGAGTTGAATAAGATCCATATTTATGAGAGCCTGTGGTGAGCATATTATTGTTTTATTCAATTCAGTTTTGAATCTACACAAATATAAAATTCTATTTATAACACATTCAAAATTAAAATGCATCAACATGCCTATAGTGTAACGCCAACATATTTCACTGTGTTTGATATAACACAAATGATGTCGCATCAAATTATTATTACACTAGTGTAACATCGTTTTTATTTCATGGTTTTATTACACTATTGCGCCCTGGTTTATGTGATTAATAAAACATAAGATTAGAACTTTAGTCAAACAAGCAAATTCGTTGAATTTATATCCCCCACCGAGTACTGGTTATTATTAACACAACAACTGAAGACATAAGGCTTTCTTTATATAATAATCATGGCATGAACAGTAATATTCTTTGAACCTGATAAATATTCAGGGAAATAACAGAGCCATAACTTTTTGTTAAATAGTAATATCTGGAAATGCCAATGAGATGTATGCATACTACATAACTATTCAAGGGCCATAAATCTGAGTTATAAGTATCTGACCGGAATAAGGCGACTATATGCACATCTCCTCTTAGTATCCCATACAGTTTCATTGAATTCCAGCCAGTAGTTACAGAGAAGTAGCACGGAAACGATTATTGCTCTGGTTGTATACTGCCTAATTTATCAAGGGTCATAACTCTAAGTTTAAAAGTCTGACCCAAACAAGGTGACAATATGCGCATGTCCTCTTCGTATTGAAGGTTCAAATAAAGTTTCATTGAATTCCAGCCAGTAGTTGCAGAGAAGTAATGAGGAAACAAACTGCATAACTAATCAAGGGCCATAACTCTAAGTTAAAGTGTCTGACCCCAACAAGGCAATGATATGCCCATCTTCTCTTGGTATTGAAGGTTCCCATAAGGTTTCATTGAATTCCAGCCAGTAGTTGCAGAGAAGTAGCGCGGTAACAATTTTTTCTCTATATGCATACTGCATAACTAATCAAGGGCCATAACTCTGAGTTAGAGTGTCTGACCGGAACAAGGCGACGATATGCGCATCTCCTCTTGGTATTGAAGGTTCCCATAAAGTTTCATTGAATTCCAGCCAGTAGTTGCAGAAAAGTAGCGCGGAAACGATTTTTACTCCATATGCATATGGCATAACTAATCAAGGGCCATAACTCTGGGTTAAAGTGTCTGACCGGAAAAGCTGACGATATGCGCATCTCCTCTTGGTATTGAAGGTTCCCATAAAGTTTTGTTGAATTCCAGCCAGTAGTTGCAGAAAAGTAGCGCGGAAACGATTTTTACTCCATATGCATATGGCATAACTAATCAAGGGCCATAACTCTGGTTAAAGTGTCTGACCGGAAAAGCTGACGATATGCGCATCTCCTCTTGGTATTGAAGGTTCCCATAAAGTTTTGTTGAATTCCAGCCAGTAGTTGCAGAGAACTACTCCGGAAACGATTTTTACTCCATATGCATACTACATAACTAATCAAGGGCCATAACTCTGAGTTAAAGGGTCTGACCGGAACAAGCCGACAATATGCGCCTCTCCTCTTGATATTGATGATTCCCATAAAGTTTCGTTGAATTCCAGCCAGTAGTTGCAGAGAACTACTCCGGAAACGAAATTCAGACGGACGGAAGGACGGACAACGCCAAAACTATATCCCCCTCCCGATTCCATCGGCGGGGGATAATTATGACAAACAACTGAAGAGTTTGAAGCAATGGCAGAATCAACGTCTATCAATACGCATTAAAATTTTCTTCACAAACATAACTTACATGATGTCCACAGAGGTGTCAGTCTCATCATTATAATCGTCATTTTCAGTTTTTACATTTCCATCTCCAGTTACTGAGAGATATTCTTGTTGTGTATCAATGTTCATATTGTGACATCCTGGCTCTATAGAAATACAAAATGATATCTTTTAAAGTAACACATTTTTATTTCATACTTATTAATGAATATTGAGAAATATTGATAAAATAAAATTTGTAATTCACTTTTCAGTATTTTCACTGTAAAAATTTATTTTTCACTGCAGTGAAACACATTTTCCATATTTTCACTGGTATCTTGCCAAACCACTTTTTTCTTAATTCAGCCATCAAATAAAATAGAAGGAGAAATCTTAAGGTCAAAAAAAGAAAGAGTATATAATAGAACAGAATATTCAAGGTTTTTCCTATAAATACATGATTTTTTTATTTCATGGTATGAAAGGCAATTAAGCATATAGCTATAAAGTTCAGGTTTTAATGTTGGAATGATTCATTCAGATCAGGAGTAGTATGTTAATGTCATAGGATGAGAAATTTTGCAACCTGACTGGGACTCTTACTCTTGGAACACAGTTCCACATCTCTACAGAGTCACCAGGCAGCTTACAAATTTTCTCCACAACAAAGACGTGGTTCTATACTGTGACATAAATTATACTGTTATATACATCTACATAATCACTTTCATGGTTTCTGAGTATATATCATACATGTATAAATCTTAACATTCACTGTAATCAAAATTGGACAAATTGATGTAAATTAATAGTCTAAGAGAAAACAGAAAGTTTTAAATTATTTGAATCAAATTATTAAACAACTACATTTTTTGTATCACAACAAATTTAGTAAATGGTAAACAAAATGTTATACATGTATTTTGCTTTAATGAGGATTATAATTTTGCAATAAGTGTTATTAATTTATATTATATTTTACCCATTTTCACGCTTGTATTATAACTGTCCGTATTCCCGGTAATATCCTCTCCAGCCCTATATAACATGCATGTAGCAGGTGGCATTATTTCTATACCAATCCTTCTAAATGTGATATTTACAGCCGGGTAGTCTGACGCTGGGAGGAGACAGGTGAGCAGTACATCCATGGGCGGGATATTGTTGATGTCTGGCTGAGAGTTCCATGTATGTACATGATGATTGTTGGAACATGTCTGATAACAATAATGACAAAAAATGTATTATGCTAGTAGATCTAGTTGCAATACTATCTGATATTATTTTTTCATTTATTTTCTTTTAAAGTACATGTATGACCCTCTTATGGGCACTAAAAAGAAAAATTGACAACAAAGTTGAGTTGTTTGCCTTAAAATTTACAGCACAGTTTTGGACTTCAGACATTTCTCTGATCTAATAGAATGCCATTTTTTTTCCAGAAATTCAGAAATAAGAAAACTTTAAATAAAATACCTATATAGAAAATATAATCAAAACTAAACATTTTTCTTTTCTATAATCTTTGAGCCCTAAATTTCCACTGAATTGACCAAACTCCTAAGAACATATTTCCATTAACCAGCAGCTTATTGGTTAATGTTGAAAGAGCTGCTACAATATCATGACTGCACTTTTCTCGATAGTTAAACAAGAGCCTTGATAATGTAGAATTTTTTAAGTACAAAAAAGGTCATAACTTTGTCAAAATCCATGTCAGACTTATGGGCCTTGGACATTGGAGTTTTTTCTATCATAAAACAAAAAATAAGTGTGTGATGTTTCAACACATTCCCTTAAATAGTTTTGGAGACACCCATTTGCACACAAAATATCAATTTGCACACAAATCTTAGCAATAGCTCTCCCTATTCTTCCAAAAGTCAAGCTAAAAATCAATTAATCAAATTACCCATTTTAACTGGACTGATGTTCCTATGTACTTTGCTGCCACTGATACCGGCTTATTACAAAACTTCTGTGAACAAATTCTCTTTATCCTTAGATTTGCCAAATTTAGAATTTCTGTATGCACACAGATAGCTTTCCTTTCTGTAAATATATCTCTGTTGGAACTAGTTTCTTCAACATTGCTTGTTTGGTTGGACTGATCATCAATATCCTCACTGTCCTTACTGCTTTCAGGCACAGCCTCTGATTCCCTTAAGAAAATAAAACCAACATGAACTTTAAATAGTATCAATTTCAAATCACCTTCTGATAAAATATTGTATTTTCTAACAAATATCAGGCAAATTTATCATAAATTCTAAAACTTTCACATCAAGTAAAACATTCCGCGCGAGCTGTACTGTAACTGTTACTCTGACAAAAGTTTTGCAGGTAAGAATGTGATCTTTCAGTCTCTCAGCCTCTCAGACTCATTAAAACTTACTTAGACTATAAATGTATTTAACATAACCCTTGCAGACTTAATATGTATCTTAATCAATTAATCTATAATGAGGGATCATACTTTTTTTCTCAGATTTTTATGTTTCAAAACAGCAGGTGTCAAGTGCTGTGTGGCAGTTGTAAAAAGTTGGCCTGTACTGTTATATTTTTCTGGTCCTTTGGGAGCATTGATCAGTGTTGAAGTTGAACTGTTGTTACTGCTCAAGCTGGTGCTAAAGGGCGTGAGAGATGTTGCATTTTTACATTATCTCTTATACACAAAGTCAATTAAACAGAGTTTGCAATTTTCATATAATGTAACAGTTGTTGAGGGATTACCCCTTTTTCAGATATTTTTAGTTGCTCTTGATCATGACTTGTTTTTTGTGATATGATAAGAAATTATGCATGATAGATATGATACCTTAGACAGTCAACCTTACCTTTGTGCACTCATTGCTGGCAAGTCTTTTTCTGTAGCAGTATGCATAGCACCATCATCATCTCTATGTCTAAATTTCACCCTGAAATACAGTTGTAGTTGATTTTGTTGCTGTTTTGTTTGTTTGTTTGTTTTTTGTAAGATTTTAAGCCACATTGACACATTATATTTAACACTGTTAATATCATAATGACAACTTTCCAGATTTCTACCTGGAGGAAGACCTCCCTATCATTGCTCAATAAAAAATCCAAAGTCCATTCAAGATTCAACTCTTTCAGCAGTGAGAGGCCAGTGGTCCCATTAAAATAGTGGGCAGATGAAACAGAAATTTTACCTATTTTTTTTTTCTTTAAAAATTTTGAATAAAAGTAATTCTGCTTTTGTATGTCTTATTTCCCAACATGTGTCACAGATTTTCCCTTTTTTAACTTAGGTTATTAATGGAATGAATCTCATAAAACACAGACTCTGAGAGTGTTAATTGGCCTGTACTAAGAGCAACTTACTATTACCCTATTTCTACCAATCAAACATAAAGCACAGAAACATGAAACAAGAGCTCTGTCAGAGGCACATGTGACTAAATAAATACTGACCACAGTAAAAGACAAAACTATGAAAAAAATAATCATATGATATAAATATATTTCTGTATAAGTATCAATAAAGCACTCAAATGTTTAACATTTTTGCACCAAATAAAATGCATGTGACAATGTCAATAAAAATTCAACAGAAATGTCTAAGTTTACATGTATAATGCAAAAGAACAACAATTTTGAAATCTAAAGTAAATTCTCAATTCTTTCAGTAACAAAAATGATAAAAGCAAGAAGTATGTAACATTTTAAAATTATAAATTCAGAGAGAATTTAAAACACCCCTTGAAATAAAATCAAACAGTATATAACATTTTTAACTAAAATTTTTAAGTTCAAAGATGAAATAAATTTTCTTGAAATTCTTGAACCTTGTCATACTGATACATGATGAGAATTAAGGCAAAGAACAATTATCTTAAGTTTAAGCAAGTTTAAAAGCATGCAGTTACCATTTATTATTTAAATAATATACTGTATAGTAAGTTAACAAAGATAATACATGTACATTGTAGTTTAAAAAAAACAACACTTTTTAAATAAATTCCAAGATCAAAATGGAGATATTTCTTGAAATACAGAATCTAGATTTATAAATTATAATCCAATTAGCCTAATTTATTCGGGGCGAACTATTAAACCCATTTTACAGACTATTTTTTGTACTACAGTACATTAGATAGTTTGATAATGATAGCATTTCCCACATATTAATTATAATGCAGCAAGGTTTATAACTCTAAAAGTAAAATACATTATGAAATAAGAGCAAAAAAATAACATTTTTAAAGAAAATTCTAAGTTCATGGGGAGATAAATTCTAAAAATGTGGCTTCTAGAGTTATGAACCTTATCACATATTATGTGGTTGATAGTAAGTAACATAGATAACATAACATCTATATTTGAAGTTTAAAGTATATTCCTTATTAAATTAAGAAGTAAGAGTTAAAAAACATATAAATTTAAGGAAAATTCTATGTTCAAGGGGAGAAAAATCTGAAAATATTTCTTAGAACTATAGAGTTATGAATTTTGTACATATATGAAACAGTAAATTATAAGGTCTAGAACTTGAAGTTTGATGCTGAAGAAAATTAAGAAATAAAAAAATGTAAAAACATTACTGCAAAAAATCTCTAAAGTCTGGATGCGGTCACCGACGTGAGCTTTCCAGTATACTTCGTATATTTAAAGTAAATACACAATGAGTAATGATATTGTATTAGCATTGTTCTTGCATTTTAATCATTTGGTGGTATACAACCTTATTCAAACGAAACCGGAAACATGTGCAAAACCCGAAATGAGACTATTAAACCCGAAAAGAAATATAAATCGCGTTGACCTAGTTTTAATGTTAACAAACCAGTGGTCCATTAAAATCGTTGCAAAGTTATCGTGCGTTTGAAACGGCAGTTCCGACTTTAATCTAACCCATCGCTCCCAGACACTTGTCACAAGTCTTAACGAGTGGTGATCCTTATGATATATCTTCCTCTTATCTGCATTTATTTTCCTCACACGAGTTATTAAATTGTCAGACATTTCCATTATTAACAGTGCGCATGCTCAACATATAATTTGCATATCTCACGATGCAGCCTACTGTACGGCGCGAATTCAAGTATCCTCACCGAGGCGGACCGTGCAATGAAAAAAAGTTTTATTTTACGCGATGTATCGATGTAAGGAACATTAAATCTAAACCACTTTTCATTCAACTTTTAACTAATGGATAGATGGATAGATAAAATATAGGCTCCATTCTGTTATTGTAGCTTTAAAGCAGAAAGACAGCGTCGTCCCGTGCAATTTACTAGGGCCGTAATTATGCGACATAAGATCAATAACTTTTATGCATTGGAAAAACACCTTTCTTTTGTTGTTTTACTGAAAAAAATAATGATGTTTTAAAACATTCTTAATATTTTTTTTTATAAAATATATAAAAATATAATGTACACGACATACTATCAAAGCCACTTACGATGCATCACTCAGATCACCCAGAAAAAATCAATTTTTGAGCATAGAGACAAGATTTCTGTACTTTTTGTAAAGATCTAGTAGGCAAACATAACATTCTTGAAAAATATGTATACACGCCCTATGCATTGCTTTTTGAAAGTCTTTATCTCTTGTGACCTACTTATGCATCATACTGGAACAATTAATCATTTATCTAACTTTTGTAGAGGATCACCTAGCTACATTTTTGTAAGGGTCACTCTTGTAAAGTTTGGTCAAAACTTCCTTATTTTTAAAGGCACATTATATGCTCCAGAATTGCTTTTATTTTTATTTCTCAAAAACTGTTTTGTTATAGTTCCAAAAAAAGTTACTCATTACTCAATTACCTGAACCATCTTTTAAATGTTCGAATCCTCGTTGTTGAATTGTGGACAACGACTAACGGCGGTTAGCAGAAAAATTTCCATGACAAAAGCTCATCACTCAACATTTTATGTTTTTTTTTTAAATGCATGGCTATTGAAGGATTAACTATTTAAACTTCAAATTAGAAGAATACATTATAGAATAATTAACATATGAATTTTACATGAATTTGCTTAAGATCTTGAAATAAAGATGCCAGAGTTATGAAACTTGGCATATGTGATGTGTTTCATGAAAAGGAACAACTATTTAATAAACCTGTCACATGACAAAAGCTTTCATGGTTAATTCAAAGGCCCTAGGAGGTACAACTTTTATCTTGAAAAATGCATGTCAGCTAGTTAGCATATGTTGTTGTGTAATATATGCTGTTTAACTCAGTGTAGACCAATGTCTCTTTGATACCAGTTTGATAGAATGATTTTACATGTAAACATATGCTTTAATTAGTACTTAGAATAAAACTTATATATATTCAAAAGTTTTATGTTGATAACTGACCATCGGTCATTTCAGATAATAGTACACAATGTGATGCGGATAATAATGATTGATTGAATGGTCATAGTTTTCAAAGAGTTACAACGACACTGTTGAGGTCTCACGGTAACTTCCCAACCTAACTCGAGTAGGAAAACGTCAGGTGCCCTTCCATGCCTTTTTTCACGAACGAGTAGAACCACCAATGTAAGCTAACTTGATATAGTTTCACCATATAAAATAATTCAAAGTCTGTGTCGATAAATTCGAAGCCACAGCGGTAAATGGCAAGTAGCAGATGATGATTACCAGAAATATAGACACCAATGCCAGCATTTGGGATGTAGTATGATAGTGCTCTACAGGAACGTATTACCTTGGAGTGACAAGCTTCAACTAGAAGTCAAGAAAAAATCTATAATTGGATTTTGACGACCAAGTTCATTTAAAGGAAACATCAAATTTGAGTTATTCAACACATCTGTTGTATCATATGTGCGTTTTGTCTAAGTATAATCTAATCTGTAAATGAATAATGTTATGAGAAGTCATGTAAAGTTCAAGGTCATAATCTAAGTTTTGTCGTAAGTATTTTTGTCAACTGCAAACGACATATGTTTATTTTGCAAAATGTTGGTTGTGTCAAAATTTATTTTGTTCAAGTAAAAAAGCACTGTGACAATAGTTGATTTTTTTTCATTCTTTTATTGAAAATTTACATTTTTTCTTAAATTACAGATACAATGTACATAACATTTACTAAACTATTGTTATCAACTCTTCCTTTTGCGAACTTTCGGAACTTATTCATAAAGAAACAGAAAACAAAGCAAAATGTGTACACCATTCTCAGTAATCAACTTGTCATTTTAGCGAAAATATAACTAGTTTGTGTCAAACCCTTATTTATAAAGAAACATACTGTACAGACTAAACACAAGAATGAACAATAACTATCGTTACTTTTTAATTCCAAGAATATCTGGATGATCTTTCTTCTCGTGCATTTTTAAAGCTTTTTGGTTACGAAAAACAATATCACAATGTGAACATGCAACTGTGTTTTCCATTCCGTGAACTTTGACATGTTCCTTTAGCTGAACATTCCATGCAGCTGCAAACTTGCATTGTGAACACTTATATGGCTTCTCCCCAGTATGTGTTCTCATGTGAGACTTTAGCTGGTATCTTTGAACACATGAAAATGTACATTTGTCACAAAAAAATGGATGATCACCTGCAAATAAATGAACAAATTAATATGTGCTTAAAATTAGCAAATCATTATTGTTAAAACATGTCTTTTAAAAAGGGACACTATCAAGGTTGTTTTTATTACAAAATGAAACTAGAAATTTTAGAGATTCGTGACAACTTGTAAGTCTGATGCTTGCGAAATTTTCCAGAATAATTGCTCAATCTATTTTTATATTATCTTAATTGTTAAAAATAATTTGAAAATTAAGTTGTTTAACCTTTTACCCCATGAGCGTATTGTGAAAAATGGCCGTTTTCATTGAAAAGCCTCCTGTTACAAGTTCAAACTGCTATGAAACTATGAAAAATGCTTCAATACTGATGAAACTTGGCACAAATATTGACTGGACCATAGCCTCTGTAACAGCATGCTCAATCGTTAATTTTCTGTTACCATGGCAACGGGGGACGTCTCAAAATTGCGAAAAATCACTATTTTGCATTGTTTTTTTTCCATCAAAACTGATTTCAAAGTGCTGAAACTTCTCAATGAATTAAGATAGAGTAAAAGGCTTTTCAGCGTCCGTTACTAGTTACCCTAAGATCGACCTGAGGCCATTTTAGCCTGTCACATGTCAAATTTTCTTGGCGATGACCCCTTCAAACCCCCCAAACAGAAGGGGGCACATCCCCCTTCTGGCAACCCCCTGATGTACCATTATGATGGGGGCGCCGAAAAAGCGGTCACTTTTTTAACAACATTTCTCAAATGAAAAACAGTGTTTGGGGCCTACATAGGGCATTTTTTCACTGTTTGAAGCCTCAAAAAAAGGGGGGGGGAAAGGGGGGGGGGGCAAAAAACCGTCGAAACACGTCTATATCAGGGAAAATGTTAAAAAATAACTTGTTACTAATTTCAGGATACTGTACTAATCTATTTTATATTTATATCTGAGTGAATGTCTTTAAGAGTTTGATCATCTTTTGCATATAATATTATGCTTGCTTTCAAAACCTCAATGAATCATTGTAAGATTTTGAATTAAGTCTTTAGGACCATAACTGACCTCCTTTTATAAAGCAGAAAATTAGCTGCCTGGTAAGTACAATAAATCTGGTAAAAAAAAGTCAAGCTTGAGAGAAAAAATGTTTTTAAAGTTTTGTTCAAGAAATCTCGAAATATTTCGACCAGTCTTTGTATAATTTCTGTGTATTTATATAGACAGGCTAGGTCTGCAGGGAGACCTTTCAAGATGATATTTCACATAATTATAATCTGCTGGAACCAAAAGCGATTTTCCATGGCCACCAGTATAGTCAGACCAGTCTGTACATCAGTGCAGCATAACTGCTCTTTATACAATTGATAGTTCACATTTTCTATTTTAATATTTTAATCCCTAGAAAGCATTATGGACTGTTCCAAGTTCATAGCTAGGCAAATACAAAACGCAAATGCAGCAGATTAAAGGTTAAAGTGACACTATGCTTATTTTCCTTATTGTCAAGTTGTTCAGATTATAGTATTGTTATAGTACATCCCAGTTAAAACATAAACAGACAGCACCAATCTTTTAATCAAGTAAATGTTACAGATTATAATCTGATGGATAATTATACAGTTTCTATTAGTTACTTTGGAAATTCCAAATACATTGTAAAGTAAAGTAGAATATAAAATTGAAAATAATTATAGCAAAATGAAAAGTTGTTAAAAGACTTGTAGCTTTACTAACCATTTACATCTATTGTAAAATTAACTTACTTCTATGACTCAATTCGTGCTCTCTAAGTCTTTGAGAATTTTTGGCAGAATAAGGGCATGTAGAACACTGGTAATTTCTCACATTCATGTGTGTAGATGCTAAATGTTTGTTTAATCCACTTTTTGATGCCAGCAATGTACCACATACCTGGCATTGATTTGTTGCCTTGCAAGAACATTGGTGATCTTTAAAGTCTTCCAAACTTAAGTGACCGTAAACTGTAATAGCAATTCATTTTTTTTAAAATACCAAAATTCTATACAAAATTTATATCTAACAAGAGAATTATTTTTGTTTAATAATTAGTAACATATAGCAATACATACACAGCATAGCCAAAAAGACTGATATGCAAATGAAACCAAAAAAACGTAGTTCTACATCTTAAAACACATGTTTATATAAAACAAGAGGGCCATGATGGCCCTGAAATCGCTCACCTGTATATAAGCCCCTGGGCCAAGGCCAATTTTAAACCAGGGGCTTTTATTTGAACAAACTTGGTAGACACCCATTAGAAGATGTTTCATGCTAAATATCTTAGCCCTGGGAGGGGCCAATTTTGACAGCAGGGCTTTTATTTGAACAAACTTGGTAGACACTCACTTGAAAATATTTCATGCTTAGCAATTAAACTATAGCTCTTTGAGTTTTTTTTATAAGAAGAGTTTTTACCATACACATATAAGCAAAATCAATGACCCCTCGGGTGGGGCCAATTTTAAACCAAGGGCCCTTATTTGAACAAACTTGGTAGACACCCATTAGAAGATGCTTCATGCTAAATATCTTAGCCCTAGCTCTTTGGGGTTTTTAAAAGAAGATTTTTACAGTTTTTACTATGTACATAAAGAGAAAACAATGACCCCCTGGGGCAGGGCCAATTTTTACCCAAGGGCTTTAAAAGATTTTTGAACAAACTTGGTAGACACCCACTAGAAGATGTTTCATGCTTTATATCTAAGCTCTAGCTATTTACATCTTTTAAATGAAGATTTTTTAAGTTCTTACTATATTCAAATAAGGAAAATCAATGACCTCTTGGGGTGGGGCCAATTTTGACCCCAGGGCATTTATTTGAACAAACTTGGTAGACACTGACTAGATGACGTTTCATGCCAAATATTTAAGCTCTAGCTCTTTCGGTTTTTCTAAAAACAGATATTTAAAGTTTTTTTTCTTTCAGTTGCCATGGCAACCAGAGTTCTGCTTGGAATAAAATTCTTTGAAGAGTTTTTAAAGTTGACTTCCAAAGGTACATTCCTGTGAAGTTTGGATGAAATTGGCTTAGAGGTTTATGAGGATATGTCGTTTAAAGTAAAAGTTTACGGACAGACGGATGGAGAATGGACGGACGCCTGACGATAATCACAAAAGCTCACTATGTCACCTAGTGACAGGTGAGCTAAAAAGTCTTTGTAGTTTGTCCTTGTAGTTTTGAAGAGGATGCTTAATTATTTCTACTCTAATTATATATAAAAGCACAACCCTTTGGCCAATTTTGACTCCACAACTATCATTTGAACAATCTTTATGGTATAATGTTAATTACAACTTACGTTTGCAGATGTCTTAAGAATCTTAGGTTTCAAACAGAGAAAATGCAAAATTACCCAATTGACAGTTGAAGCAATACTTGACAAGGTCAGTATGTACTGTTCTATAATGCTTCTTTCTACCACTATTTGTAGCAAACTTCTCATCACAGAACCGACATTGAAACTGAGGGTCGCCATGCTCCTTTCCAATGTGTGACAATCTAGCGTCTGATGTGTACAGAACAAGTCCACATATATCACACATAAACTGGTTTTTTCCTGATACATGTCCAACAGAAAACTTATGCTTTAATAACACTAATTCGGAGTAACCGACATAAGAACATTTGTCACATTCCAGGACCTTATTCACATGCTTTTCAATATGTGCCTCAAAAAGATCTCTAGCTGTGGACTTGAAATTGCCACATATTAAACACTTGAACAATTCTTCTGTTAAATCAACATTACGATCTTTTCTTGCAAATGATTTGACAATTTCTTTACTGTACTTGTCCTGATGCTCTTCTAATTTTATATGAATCCATGACTTTTTGTCCAAATGCTGATCGCTTTTTTTGTCTTTTTTTGCCTTTGGTTTCTTTTTAATTTCATATTCTGCATCATCCTCTTGCATTCTCCTTTTCTTACAATTTTTGCCAACTGCCTTACCAGTTTTTCTTTTTCTCTTTACCATATCTTTATTGGTTATTTTACCACCAGTTAAGCAATCACCTTCAATTTCATAATCTGCATTATCCTCCTGCTTTCTCTTTTTCTTACAATTTTTGCCAACTGTCTTACCAATTTTTCTTTTTTTCTTTTCAATATCTTTATTTGATATTTTACCATCAGTCAAGCTATCACCTTCATTTTTCAGTGTGTAGCCTTTGTCTTCATTTGTTTCAGTGCTATTACCACCTTTATCTAAATCTTCAATTCCACCAGGAAAAAAATCAGAATCTTCATTTACTTTTCTTTTATTGATTTTTTTCGTTTTATCTATAAGTTTATCATCTTCTGTCACTGCTGTTTCTGTAGGTTTTCTTCTCACATTATCCTGTTTCTCACACATTGTTACCACATTTTTAGATACATAAGAATCATCACTGTTTTTCTCACAGTCATCTGTCCACTCCAGGCTTGCATAATCAGGCCTGTAACCCCTTGACTGAACTCTTGAGCTTTTCCTTCTGTTTCCTAATTCTGCATTATCTTCAGAAGGATCTTCAGATATTTTAATCATTTTCTTTTCAGCTTCAAGATAATTCATAAAATCTTCAATTTCTGTGTCAGCATCTGATTCTTCACTATTGCAGTCTTCTTTTTCACTTTGACATGTAAATTCTGGTGACACTTCTCTAAATGGTTGTATAAAGAAATTATAATGAGAGTTTTACACAAAGTTTACATATAGGTTCTCATTTTTCATCAACATAGATTTAGTAATAATGATACATTGTATTACAAAAGCAGCTACAACAGTGAGCTGATTAATATTCTTTGTTTTATATATCAACTAAATTTAACCATATATTTTTTATATAATGTACATGTATAACAATTATAATAAATTAATATAGAGGATCTTAAATGAGTGCCTTTTCATATTTCATTCAAACTGCATGCCAGAGTTATTTGTCTTGATAAGTGACTTTCAATAGTGACCAAAACCATAAATAAGTTTCAAGAAGAATTTTTTTCCAAAAGGTAAGTGTTGCATGCAAAACTTCACAAAAATGTTCTATATCCCAAAGGGTCATAATACATGCAAGAATAATGAGTATTGGAACATGACCTCCAATAATTAAGCTTAAGTCATACAATTGTATGTAAAGTTTCAAGTGAATACCTCCAGTAGTACAGAAAATTGATTTTGATACCATAAAGTGCATGAAGTTACAAACAAATACCTTTCGCAGTTGATGAAATATGATGTTGAATAAGAAATTGCAAGTGAAACTTTAACCAAAGCCTTATGCAGATGCAAGCGGTGAAGGTAGCACCTGACTGTGTAGGATAGCTCCACTATTCTTGGAAAAGTCAAGCTTAAACTCGTTGTAAACAAATTTTTAAAAAGCAGTCTTTTCAAACTTTTAAGTTGTTTGCTTGTCAAATTTCTTATTAATTGTACATTGTAAATAATTTTAACTTGCATGGTCTGGCCGTTCAACAAATTAAGCAAGCTGTTAATAACAGTAACAATAATACCTGCTGATCATTTCTGATTGATCCGACATTATTTCTACCTTCACCATGACCTCATTCATAGGATCAGGAGCCTCATTTAGTGAGGTATCTTCCACAAGGTACCTATTCCTAAAGGTCTCATTCACAAAAGCATCTTCCAAAAGGTACTTATTCCTTGAGCTCTTATTCACAAGGACATCATCAACAAGATATTTATTCCTGAAAGTTTCATTCAAAGCAGCTACATTCACTGGAGCATCTTCAGCAAGATGTTGATTCATTGACTCATTCGAAGGTGCTTCAGCCACACCAGCTTCCTTCTTCATCACCTCCATCACTTGGGTCTCATTTATGGGAGCCTGTTGACTAGCTTTATAGGCATCACAAAGTTTCTGTATGTAGTCGGCTCTGTCATGCCTGAAGATTGATAGTAAAAAAGCTTACTTCTTTATGTAACAATGTAATAATAAAACACTTTTCTTGATAGCACTTATTTCGTACTGTACCAGTATTTCAGTGATATACTTGTTCTTTTTAAAATTTAGTACAAAGTTTGGGGATGGGCATGTGTGTTTGGGGGGGGGGGGCGGCGTGCATGCATATGAAAAATCCTACATATAAAACAGCAAGCAATGGAATTTGTATTATGTTGTTGCACTGCATATTATAAATGATAGACATGTAGTTGTTCAAATGTGACAGTTACTCTTATTTTTATATATTGGATATTTAAAAAAAACAACTGTTAGGAAGTTTCTGAAGAGTCAGTTTGCAAACAGTTTCAAAAGGAAAATGGGAATAAAAAAGAAATTTTGCCAAAATAGATGCAGATTGCATATGTTTCCATTATTTTAACATGTATAATATTATAAAAAGGTTGTTTCTCAGGATTTGCTAACATCCAAACATTTAACATAAGATTTATTATTGTTACCATGCATTCATCAATACATCTGCAAGTTGACTGTTAGAATTAATTTTAAGCGAATGTTTCAGTTCTCTCCAGTGTGCCCATACATCAGTTTGTAACGCGATAATCCTATGACTACCATGTTTTGGGATGTTTCTTCTTTTCCAGTATCTGGAAATATGACCTCCATACCTACTTTGTTGATCAAGCTGATGTAAGCTGCAAACAATACATTTCTCTATTAGTTTACTCTAAATTATTGTCTATAAGCTTGACTTATAGCAAGGACAAGTGAAGCACCTTCAATTGCTCTAAATAAATATACACCTCCTCCAGTTTGTCAAATTAATCCTCAAATTTAGCTTATAAGGCACATATGTATTTTTTTAACTCATTTTCATTTTTTTCTCCTAGCTTTAGCGAGATAAGTATTTATGAAGTTTTTTCTTCCCCTTTTTCAAAAATTATGTTATTATCAAATGGCTTTATCCCCATTCTGTCATCTGTGTGAATAGCTTAATGTAATAAGAACATGAATACTTGTAAGACACTTGCAAAACACAGTTAGCTGTACCTTTTGATCAAAAGTCGAGCAAGATCCTCATCAGATTTACAACATTTCTTTAATTTGATTTTCATCCATCTCCCTGTCATTGACCCTATATTCACAAATTTTCTTCGCGCTTTTGGACAATGATTTTTACCATCAGCTAATTGTGAAGATTGGTCAGACATCTTCTGTGGAAAATAAGATAAAATATATCTAATTAGAGATGTGATCCAATTAATTGCAAATTATGGCATTATCCAGTTATTACTGATATTATTATACATGTGTGCAAACAAAATCTATACACATTAAATTTAAATTACTAATGTGCCCCAAAAAAATTGTTGTAGACTAATGATGTACGTGTTTAAACCTTAAATAATGATACACAATATACTATAGTCACGGTATCTTTACTGCTATTTTGTGATATTTGTTACTTATCAGCAAATAGATAAGTAAAAATATCAACAATAAGTCTAATATTTTGTGCCGGGTAATAATTAAATGTTACATAATTATATCACTGAAAAAAAAAATCCAATAAAGTCCAACCACATACAGTACTGTATCTTGAGAGTTATTATTCGATGTTATTATTATTAATACTATCTTTAAATAGATGTTTTATGTTTAATGCCACTGTATCCAAGCTTACTCTTGTAAATATGGAGCTAGATTTTCCTGTATTGTATATATACTATTCCAGCTACTGTTCTGCTTTACGTCAAATAAAATGATTATTCTAAAATGTTTTCATTATGGGCAAATAGCGTCACAATTAGTAAGGGAAGTAACTCGGATGAGAATGATAAAGTTATAATGTTTATTCAGGTACGTATATTAATATACGTACCTGGTTTATTATAGGCAAAATCTCTCAGAGACATTTTCTAATCCTGAAAGAAATTAATAAAATATTCATATTGATATTTTTTGGCCATCCGTCACATCTATAATGTTTTACAGAACACAGCAGGCTTCTGTTTGCTGCAATATTTGCGTATTTTGGTGCCGAATCCCTTGAACAAATAACATTGATCAGTCTGACAGTCCAAGCTTCAAGAAAGTTCAACATATATATTCAGCCTTGGATTACAGTTCGACTGCTATAGATCTACATGTACACTGAGCTACCCAGAATCTTACACACTTACCTATAAGTCTATTAACACTTGACAAACTGTCCCCTACTCAATCATAATCCTTCCTCGAATGTCTGATGGATTCAGGGTAGTTTTCTCCGTGCTTAACGTTACAGAGTACAAACATGACTTAAACTACATTAAAGCCATTGTGAGGATATAAAAAAAACTTATATTTGGTTTACACTATGCCCCCACCTGCTGAGATTGTTGAGATCCTTGTCAGTAAACAATTTACCCAAAAAGGTTTGACTAATTATACTCAATTACGAAAGAGAAGATTAGAAACTTCGACGGGAGCGATAGCGACATGCAGGAGAATGTTTCTAATTCCATTTGTTACAATATAAAATACATGTTGTATTGAATTCAGTACTTGAAATGAACAATATGATCTCCTTTTTTGTTTATTTAGCTAGTCATAATTGTATTCTAGCTTATATTGTGATATTAGTGATTTTTGACTGTTATTTTCCTGTTTGTTTGTTGTTATAACCTTGCATATTATATGCCTTGGTTTAATAAAAACTGAAACTGAAAAATAGAAGTCGACTATGAACGAAATTCGATATAGTATTGGTTTTTTTCCATAGAATCTATGAAAATTAACGCACAGAATTTTGAAGAAATACAGCGTTTTCATTGGATGACAAATAAAGTTGGACACTAAGCATTTAGTTGTCATCCAATGAAAACGCTGTATTTCTTAAAACTTGTTTGTGTTAATTTTCATAGAAGAACAAAAGTCGATACTATATCGAATTCCGTTCCTAGTCGCCTACTATTTTTCATAGATCTTTATAAAACAGCGTAGTGACGTAATTAAGTGAATGATAATGAGGCCAAATAAAGCTTGACACTAAGTATGTTAGTATTTATCCGTAGCTGCACGGATAAACACTAACATATACATAGTAGGCATGTATAAGATGGGTGTAATAATCTGTTTTTAGCAATGATGACATTGATCTTGTGACCCCAAACTCAAGCATACTCATATGTTACCATATGGTATTATAAATGACGGCTGTGCTTAACTATACAAGGTCCTTATAATTTACAAGGAAATAAAAAAGGGAAATAAGTGGAGGAAAATGGGAGCCACAGTAAAGAAAATTGCCAAGTTTATGGGCTTTGTTCTGGTGTGTATTATGAGGCCAATGATACTGAGGTAGAACTGAAGATATATCCGACTTTCCGATTTACTTTAACCTTGTATATGAGACGATTGTGCAGACGCATTGTTCAATTATTGTTATGCCCAGAGGCATAAAAATGTGCAGTCTGTGACTGAAACTCACACCTTGTATGCCCTCAGAATAAAAGCTTATTGGCTGAGTGAACAGCCATATACCGTTAAGAATAGAAAAGACTAACAATGGATAAATATTCAAGTAACAAGAGAAAAAATCTTTTATTTTACATGAAAATATTTTTGTACATTTTTACATAAAGCTAAATTTTTAAGTATGTATATGTCAGATCTTATTCAGAAGGAATGCAGTGGACAAGGATTATATGATTATCTATATCCTTCATATTTCTTAAGTTACTAAAAAATTTGTTACTTTTCATGCTTATTTTTGTCTAGAGGTAAAAGTCTCAAGCATACCCATGTTACACTATATTGCAGCATCTGAGATGAAAGAACTAAATATAACTGTTGTTGGGAACAGACACCCCCAAGCTAGGCCAAGTAGTGCAACTCATCAAAGGCGATGTTACTATAAAAAGAGAGTTACAAGTATAAAGAACCATTAACAAATATTTTCTCATATTCTCAGCCAGCCCAAATGTTTAAAAAAAACATCTATGAATGACAATGATATGACCCAACACAATTCCATCAATGTACTTGTCTGACATACAAGAATAACCTTCATCTTGTAAACTTTCGACCTTCCGTTTGCCTGTGACAAGCTTTCATAATGTGCCGCAGAAGTATGCCTAGATATTTCAAAATTGATTCATGGATGACAGTATATAACCATCGATGTACTTTTAGAAATTATAAACCTTAAAAGTCCTAGCGTGATCTTGATCTACAAACTCATCTGTCGATCACAAATTGTTTTAAAGAACCATATCTTTAAACAAAGTTATTAAAAATGTGTCACTGAATGACATCACAATAAAGAGTGGGTAAGAAAGTTTTGGAAGCCAACTTGAAATTTCTTAGGTGGATTAAGATCATTAGAGTCCTCAAAATATACAATTACTTAATATATTTTCTCCCTTTTTGTATCTTTATATTTTCCTAACTTGCTAAATAATCAGATAAACATTGTAAAGACTTCAAAGTTGAAATATTTGTTTTCTATCAAAAGCAAGTAATTCTTGCATAAGTTTTAAAACAATTAGCCCCCTTTCTTACTTTGATTATACTATCCTGCAGTAAAAGCAAGAGGCTGGGCAATATACGCCAATAGTAAAGTTATAAGAGAGAAACACGGACAAAATATTAATGTTTCTTAAAGAAAGATATTGTAAATGTATCGGATTATGACTCTTCCATCAATATATAGTCTACTTTTTACACACGATGATGTTCCAGCTGGCCAGGTAGTATGCTTGAGGTACATACATTCTATTGTTGCAGGTCATAATCTTTAACTACTGATTCAGGCAAGTTACCGCTGTCAGGACTTTGGTCAATTCAGTCCAAACAAAGGCTTGTGGTTTTAAATCTTATTAAAGTGAAGATTTTTCTTTTTATTTTATTCTATTTTTGACTTGCCTCTATCAATTTACAGAAAACAAAGCAAATGCGTACAGGTATATAAAAATATCATATTCAATAATCAACTTGTAATTTTGGCGAAAATATAACTAGTTTATGTCCAACCCTAACTTATAAAGAAACATGTTTTACAAGCTAAACACAAGTATGAACATTAACTATCGTCGTTTTTTCGATTTTTTAATATTTCCAGGAATTTCAGGATGATCTTTTTTCTCATGCATTTTTAATGCTTTTCGGTTACGAAAAACAATATCACAATGTGAACATGCAACTGTATTTTCCATCCCATGAACTTTGGCGTGTTCCTTTAGTTGAACATTCCATGCAGCTGCAAACTTGCATTGTGAACACTTATATGGCTTCTCCCCAGTATGTGTTCTCATGTGAGACTTTAGCTGGTATTTTTGAACACAAGTAAATGTACATTTGTCACAAAAGTATTGATGATCACCTGCAAATATACATGTATGAACAAATTACCATAATAATGTGAACTTAAAATTATCAAATCATTATTGTTAAAGAGACTCCATAGAGGTTTTTGAACAATGACTTGCAAACAATATTCCCTATCTTTTGCTCACTCTGTATTTCTTGAATAATCATTGACAAATGACCCGAAATTGGAAACCAATTAAACATCCTGTATCAAATATAATTATCAGTGTCAGAATTGTTTGATTTAAATCTAAGTACATTTCTCCATTATCTTTTGTAAATATTCCCATTTTAAGTGTCTTTGCAAAATATCTAAATTTTGGCTTTTGGACCTCATTGGAGTTGCATTAAAGTGGCAATATTGCTACCAGATAAGTACAATATTATCTTTAAAAACTAAAACTGGTTAGGGACTTCATGATTATGCAGCTTTTCCTTTTTTATACATTTTATCCCTTCGATGGCAAGGATAAACAAATACTTTAAGGCAAAACTAGAACTATCACTAAATGTGATTAATACCCCCACAGGACTGCTTCGGAAATGAGGATGTTACTAGTTACAGAATATCTTGTAAAAGAATTGAAATATAGAGTTATGGTTGTGGGCAATTAAAGATAGTTGTGGTTCTTGTATATTGCATTTCCTTTCAATGTGGTTGGCCATTGATGAAGTTTTATTGAATTACTCTGTAATAAGTCCAGAAAGACAAAGAAAAGGAACAAAAGGCAATAAGTCTATAAATACTGAAGATGGAGTTATAGTTCTTGTGCACTGCACTTCCACTTTTTGTGCTTGACCATTGTATGAAGTTGTTTTGAATTCCAACCAGTACGTTTTAAGTTATGCTCAAGACAAGGAAAAGTATCAAAGGGCAGTAACTCTGTTTTTTTGTCAAAATGGAGTTATGGCTCTTATGCACTGCACTTCCTTTTAATGTCCTTGACAACTGTATGAAGTTGTATTGAATTCCAAACAGTAGTTTTCAAGTTATGCTCTGGACAAGGAAAAGTAACAATGGGCAATAACTCTGTAATTTGTCAAGATGGAGTTATGGTTCTTGTGCACTGCACTTCCTCTCAATGTGCTTGACCATTGTATGAAGTTATATTGAATTCCAACAATTAGTCTTCAAGTTATGCTCCGGACAAAAAATAGCAATGGAAAAGTAACAAAGGGCAGTAACTCTGTAATTAGTCAAGATGGAGTTATGGTTTTTGTGCACTGCACTTCCTCTCAATGTGCTTGACCATTGTATGAAGTTATAATGAATTCCAACAATTAGTCTTCAAGTTATGCTCCGGACAAAAAATAGCAATGGAAAAGTAACAAAGGGCAGTAACTCTGTAATTAGTCAAGATGGAGTTATGGTTTTTGTGCACTGCACTTCCTCTCAATGTGCTTGACCATTGTATGAAGTTATAATGAATTCCAACAATTAGTCTTCAAGTTATACTCCGGACAAAAGAAAGCAATGGAAAAGTAACAAAGGACAATTACTCTGTAATAACTTTAGATAGAGTTATGGTTCTTATGCACTGCACTTCCCCTTACTGTGTTTGACAATTGTATGAAGTTGTTTTGAATTCCAACCAGTAATTTTCAAGTTAAACTCCGGACAAGGAAAAGTAACAAAGGGCAGTAACTCTGTAATTAGTCAAGATAGAGTTATGGTTCTTAAGCACTGCACTTCCTCTCAATGTGCTTGACCATTGTATGTAGTTATATTGAATTCCAACCATTAGTCTTCAAGTTATGGTCCGGACAAAAGATAGCAATTGAAAAGTAACAAAGGGCAATTACTCTGTAATTACTTTAGATAGAGTTATGGTTCTTGTGCACTGCACTTCCCCTTATTGTGTTTGTCAATTGTATGAAGTTGTTTTGAATTCCAACCAGTAGTGTTCAAGTTATGCCCCGGACAAGGAAAAGTAACAAAGGGCAGTAACTCTGTAATTAGTCATGATAGAGTTATGGTTCTTGTGCACTGCACTTCCTCTCAATGTGCTTGACCATTGTATGTAGTTATATTGAATTCCAACCTTTAGTCTTCAAGTTATGGTTCGGACAAAAGAAAGAAATGGAAAAGTAACAAAGGGCAATAACTCTGTAATAACTTTAGATAGAGTTATGGTTCTTGTGCACTGCACTTCCCCTTATTGTGTTTTACAATTGTATGAAGTTGTTTTGAATTCCAACCAGTAGTTTTCAAGTTATGCCCCGGACAAGGAAAAGTAACAAAGGGCAATAACTCTGTAATTAGTCAAGATAGAGTTATGGTTCTTGTGCACTGCACTTCCTCTCAATGTGCTTGACCATTGTATGTAGTTATATTGAATTCCAACCATTAGTCTTCAAGTTATACTCCGGACAAAAGAAAGCAATGGAAAAGTAACAAAGGACAATAACTCTGTAATAACTTTAGATAGAGTTATGGTTCTTATGCACTGCACTTCCCCTTACTGTGTTTGACAATTGTATGAAGTTGTTTTGAATTCCAACCAGTAATTTTCAAGTTATGCTCCGGACAAGGAAAAGTAACAAAGGGCAGTAACTCTGTAATTCGTCAAGATAGAGTTATGGTTCTTGTGCACTGCACTTCCTCTCAATGTGCTTGACCATTGTATTGAATTCCAACCATTAGTCTTCAAGTTATGGTCCGGACAAAAGAAAGCAGTGGAAAAGTAACAAAGGGCAATTACTCTGTAATTACTTTAGATAGAGTTATGGTTCTTCTGCACTGCACTTCCCCTTATTGTGTTTGTCAATTGTATGAAGTTGTTTTGAATTCCAACCAGTAGTGTTCAAGTTATGCCCCGGACAAGGAAAAGTAACAAAGGGCAGTAACTCTGTAATTAGTCATGATAGAGTTATGGTTCTTGTGCACTGAACTTCCTCTCAATGTGCTTGACCATTGTATGCAGTTATATTGAATTCCAACCATTAGTCTTCAAGTTATGGTTCGGACAAAAGAAAGAAATGGAAAAGTAACAAAGGGCAATAACTCTGTAATAACTTTAGATAGAGTTATGGTTCTTGTGCACTGCACTTCCCCTTATTGTGTTTTACAATTGTATGAAGTTGTTTTGAATTCCAACCAGTAGTTTTCAAGTTATGCCCCGGACAAGGAAAAGTAACAAAGGGCAATAACTCTGTAATTAGTCAAGATAGAGTTATGGTTCTTGTGCACTGCACTTCCTCTCAATGTGCTGGACCATTGTATGTAGTTATATTGAATTCCAATCATTAGTCTTCAAGTTATGGTCCGGACAAGGAAAATGCAACGGACGTCTGGACCGACCGACCGACCGACCACCCGACCGACCGACCGACCACCGGGTGACTCCTATATACCCCCCAGAACTTCGTTTTTGGGGGTATAATAATATCATATTTTTGTGTTGCCTACTGTTACAGAAGCTTCAACACATAGGGATCACTTCTCAGTTGTCTGTCTGTCCATCTGTCAGTCTTTGAAAACTTTTACTAAATAAAAACAGGATATGTTTGTAAAACATGTATGTTCCCTATCGGCAGCCAATTAGTCATGTGGTCAGGTAATTGTAACTGACTTTTGACCTAGTGACCCAAAAATCAATAGGGGTTACCTACTGGTCATGACTAGTCACTTGGTAGGCCCTAATTGTGACCTATAGGTTGTGTGCAGCAATTTTATGACAAAGTGATCACAAATCTTACCAAATAATATATGCATAAATTTAATGAATCATGTAGGCCTCCTAAATGACAGCAAATTTGTTATATTTAATAGGACCTTGAAATGTGTATACCAAAAGTATTTTAGTTTAATGAAAAATATCAACCAAGGCAACTTGAGTTGTTGAGTTATTGATCAGAAACCGTCTTTACTTACAATGTCAATGTGACTTTGACCCTAAAATCAATAAGGGTCATCTACTAGTCATGAACAATCATGATACCAAGTTTAAAGTTCCTAGGCCCAAGTGTTCTTTAGTTATTGTTTCGAAACTGTTTTTACCTACAAGGTCAATGTGAACTTGACCTTTGACCCCAAAATCAATAGGAGTCATCTACTGGTCATGAATAATCATCATACCTAGTTAGAAGTTCCTAGGCTTAGGCGTTCTTTAGATATTGATCGGAAACTGGTTTAACCTAAAAGGTCAATGTGACCTTAACCTTTGACCTTTTGACATCAAAATCGATAGGGGTCATCCACTGGTCATGAACAATCAGCATACCAAGTTTGAAGTTCCTAGGCCTAAGCGATCTTTACTTATTGATAGGAAATCTGAAATAACCTACAAGGTCAAATGTGACCTTGACCTTTGACCCCTTGACCAAAAAATCAATAGGGGTCATCTTCTGGTCATGAACAATCATCATACCAAGTTTGAAGATCCTAGGCCTAAGCGGTCTTTAGTTATTGATCTGAAACTGTTTCTACCTAAAAGGTCAATATGACCTTGACCGTTGACCCCAAAATCAAGAGGGGTCATCCAATGATCATGAATAGTCATCATACCAAGTTTGAAGGTCCTAGGCCTTAGAGCTCTTTAGTTATATTTATCGGAAACCGTTTTTACCTACAAGGTCAATGTGACCTTAACCTTTGATTCCAAAATCAATAGAGGTTATCTTCTGGTCCTAACCAATCATCATACCATGTTTGAAGCTCCTAGGCTTAAGCATTCTTTAGTTATTGATCAGAAACAATTTGGTCTATGGACTGACTGACCGACCGACCGACAGACAGACAAATGCAAAGCAATATACCCCCCACTTCTTTGAAAAGGGGCATTACAATGGCACTGGTCATTCCTGTAAAGTTTGCAGTAGTTCTTGAGGAGTAGACCAGACAAGTTTTGTGACAAACAGACAGACAGATGATCTAACAAAACAGTTGTTATGTGGCAATTTTAGTGTTCTCGTTATTGTTCTTTCAGCCACATAAAAGTCTAACGGATTGAATAACATGAAAGAGAATGTACAGTTACCTATTGTTTCTGTAGTCACTCAAATATCCTAATGTAAGCTCGGAAGGACAGACAGAAAGACATCAAAGAAATGATTCCAATTAATTGCCACTTTTCTTACTCAGCTTCTGTGTAGCTGGCAACATATAAGTCATCAACAGGCCAAAATACCTTTTTTATTAAAGGGTTATAAAAAATATCATTCAACCTTAAAACCCATGTAGTATGCGCAAGAACCATGAGCTACCACTCAATCCTGTAAAGTTTTACTCAAATTGCATTTGTGGTATATGGGCAGTATTCTAGAAAACTTTAATAAGGGCAAAATGCACAATTGGACAAGGTACTGATCATTCATGAAATTTCAACTGTAGTTTTTGAGGAGTAGTCCGAACAAGTTGTGTGACCCTTTGACCTGCTGAATGAAAGACATTCAATTCTATGTATTCAGGCTTTTGGAGTTCCTAAAGGTGTAGAGGTCATTTTAAGTTTTTTCTATGTTCAGCCTTAGGAGCCATCTTGTTCTGCAGACCAGAACCATGTGTGCAATTTGTTTAGAGGACCGACTACGAAAGCTGTTATGACATGTAGCTGTACATACATTTACATTTGGCAAAATGTCATTTTAAAGAAAAGAAAAAGCTGAATCTGGGGTACAACAAACTTACTTCTATGACTCAATTCATGCTCTTTAAGTCTCTGAGCACATTTTGCAGAATATGGGCATGTAGAACACTGGTAATTTCTAACATTCATGTGTATAGATTCTATATGTTTCTTTAATCCACTCTTTGTTGACAGGCATACACCACATACCTGGCACTGATTTGTGACCTTGCAAGAACTTTGATGATCTCTGAAGTATTCCAAACTTAAGTGACTGTAATCTGTAAAAGCAGATCATTGCTGTAAGTTAGTGAATAACATGTCTATTTTCACAGACGCTTGGGGGTCAGATCCTGATTTAAAATAAATCAACAGTGTCTATTCTAGGATTCGAAGAACAGGCGGATTTTTTTCGAAAAGTCAGAATTTATTACATTTCAAAAACTGAGTGAATCCCCCAATCCCCGTCCTTGAATAGACACTGAATCCAACTTGTCAAAATAAGTTAACCATACAATACTATATTTTCAAAGTGTTAAAAAGTGGTAAGCGAAATAACTTAGAAAATGGATGGCACAGATATATAACTTGGCAATATCATGTACTTTGTATTCATAAGTAAGTGTGGAAATCATAAATCCATAGTATAGAAAGAACTTAAGTTATACCAACTTGCCGGTTTAGGTTAACCATATCCATTTTCAAAGTGATGAAATAGGCAATAACTTAGAAAATATGAAAGCCAATAGTTACCGGTATATTTCTTGCACAGATCATGAACTTAGTATTGTTAAGTAAGTGTATAAATTATTAAACCATTGGCACTGGTCGAACTTGCCATTTTAGGTTAACATCCTACGGTCATTCACACAGTTCAATTCCTATATGCCTATAGGCATAAAAACATGAAGAATGGACTATACCAGCAAAAGGCTGGATTTTATTTATGTTTGCAGATGTTAAATCAAACAGAGAAAATGAAAAATGATTACCAGATTCACAGATGAAGCAATACTTGACAAGGTCAGTATGTACTGTTCTATAATGCTTCTTTCTTCTACTATTTGTAGCAAACTTTTCATCACAGTACCAACATTGAAACTGAGGGTCGCCGTGTTCCTTTCCAATATGTGACAATCTAGCAACTGATGTGTATAGAACTATGCCACATATATCACAAATAAACTGTTTATTTCCAGATGCATGTCCAACAGAAAACTTATGCTTTAATAACACAAATTCAGAGTTACCTACATAAGAACATTTGTCACATTCCAGGACTTTATTCACATGTTTTTCAATATGTTCCTCAAAAAGATCTCTAGCTGTGGACTTGAAATTACCACATATTAAACATTTGAATAATTCTTCTGTTACATCAACATTACGATCTTTTCTTGCAAATGATTTGACAATTTCTTTACTGTACTTGTCCTGATGCTCTTCTAGTTTTATATGGACCCATGACTTTTTCCTTTTCTTACAATTATTACCAACTGATTTACCAATTTTTCTTTTTCTCTTTCTCAAATCTGTATATTTACTTTCGGTCAAGCTATCACCTTCATTCTCCAGTGTGTAGCTTTCCTCATCATCCATGTCATCAGTTTCAGAACTATCATCACTTTCATCCAAATTTTCAAAACATTCAATTTCATCAGGAAAAAAATCAGGATCTTTTACTTTCCTTTTATAATTTCTTTTAGTTTTAAAATCATTTTTAAACTTATCATCTTCTGTCACTGCAGTATCAGCAGGAGAAATATGCTTTCTTCTTCCATGTATCTGTTTGTCCTCCATTGTAACCACAATTTCAGATACATAATCATTACTCTTTTTCTCATGGTCATCTATCCAATCCAAGCTTGCATAATTAGGCCTGTAACCCCGTGACTGAACTCTTGAGCTTCTCCTTCTGTTTCCTAAATCTGCATTATCTTGAGTAGAAGTAGAATCTTTAGTTATCTTGATCAATTTCTTATCAGCTTTAAGGTAATTCATTATATCTTCAATTTCTGTGTCAGACTCTGATTCCTCACTAACACTTACTTCTCCCTCACTAACACATTCTTCTTTCACATTTGGACATTCTGGTGACACTTCTCTGCATGGTTCACTAGATAAAATATAAGCTAAAAAGTTTTAAACAAATTTTACAATAGGAATTTGATATTTCAACATCAGATTTTATGCAAGCATGATTTTGCAGAGGCAGCTTCAACTGTGTTTATTTCGTTTAATGCCGCAGCACCAGAATGATAGGTCAAATGGCAACTTTCAAGCTGAACTGGTAGAGAAGGACCTCTTTTGGACCTCTTTAAAGTTACTTTAAATATGCAATGTGACAGAACTGTAGGGTTTATTTTCCAAGACTTTTAAACATGTTACAATTAACTGAATTTTAATGCGTTATTCTGTTACAATAAAATATTCGTAACCGCTAAAGATTTGTAATTTTCATTAAACCTAGGAGTCATAGTCAAATCAGATATAAACTGAAAACTAAATAAATGCATATGCATCATCACATGTTTTGACTTTAGATTACATATGTTATATACATGTAAATCTAATACATGTATTTCATTTTTTTATTTGAAATATTAGGTGTAGGGTGTGATCTTTTTGCCCTATGCAGAATGCACATGCATAACAAAATACTGTACAAGTTTTGCATAGCAATGGACTGAGTTGTATCTAAAATAGTGCACATGTAAAAACATTACTGGTTGTTATTGCTAAGGGAAAACCAAACAATTACATAAGAAGTCTTTTGTTGCTGTACAAAATAAATCGTTTCCTTGGAAGACAGTGCCTGCTATGAAATTCAATGGTAGATAAGATAATGTTTGCTTTGGAATTAACTGGTTGCTATGAATTGCAGGGCCAATTTTGACCTGAGAGCTATTATTATAAAATTACTTGTATAGGTCCACTGTAGATGTCATTTAGATGTATGATATTTACCCAATAAAATTACGTTACATGATCTTCATATAGGACATAGCTGCAGTTTAAATTGCATTTACAGAAGTAACACAATGTAAGTTATAAAGGGATAATTCAAACTTACAGCTAGCTTTGACTTGTCAAGATGTGTATTCCTGCATTCATCAAAGTAAATTGTTGTATTTACAACTGCAGCTATGTGCTTGCTTATACAATATCCTACGTAGTCCAATTTATTTTAGGGCCATTATTTATTGACATTTATGTAGGCCAATTTTGACGACCCTAAGACTTTTATTTGAATAATTTGATAGACACCTAGAAAATGTTTCATGCCAAATATCTTAGCTCTAGCTCTCTGGGATTTTTAAAAGAAGATATTTTAAGTTTTTTCTTTCTTCATGGAATTAAATTCTTTTAACAATTTATTAGGTGAACACCAAGGGAACATTCCTGTGAAGTTTGGATGAAATTGGTTAGCTGTTTATGAGGAGATGTCGTTTCAAGTTAAAGTGGAAGGATGACAGGTGGACGTTAGATGAAATGTGATCACAAAAGCTGACCATGTCACTTTGTGATAGGTGAGCTAACAAGAGCTGTCACAGGAGACAGCGAAGCTCGACTAATAAAATACTGGACGCAGTAAGGAGGACAAAACTATGAAAGATTAAATCAATTTTGTATAATTATGTATTAAATTATAGTAAAAAAATAACATTTGTTAACATTAATTCCAAGATCAAGGGGAATAATTCTAGAAATAGTCATGCTAGAGTTATGGACTTTGTCACACAACATTTGTGTAATGATAAGAAATATATATTTGAAGTTTGAAGTAGATACCTCTAAAAGTAAAGAAGTTATTATATTTCTTAAAGAAAATCCTAAGTTCAAAGAGAGATAAATCTGTAAATATTGCTTCAAGAGTTATGAACATTGTCACATTAAATTTAATTGATAATAAGGAATAAGTATTTGAAGTTTGAGGTAGATACCTTTAAAAATAAAAAAAATATTATAAAAAATAACATTTTTCTAGTAAAAAAATCTAAGTTTATGGGGAGATAATTCTTCCAATATTCTTCGTATAGTCGAGCTAAAAAACCAATAATTCAGTTAACTTCTATTATGATTTTAAAAACATTGTTAATATTTGAGACGTGCTATGACAAAACCAACATAATGCGTTTGCGACCAGCATGGATCCAGACCAGCCTGCGCATCCGCGCAGTCTGATCAGGATTCATGCTGTTCGCTGTCAGTTTTTCTACTTATTAAAGAGTTTGTAAGCGAACAGCATGGATTCTGATCAGGCTGCGTGGATGCTGGTCTGGATCCATGCTGGTCGTAAACCCATTATGTTGGTTTTGTCATGGCACTGCTCATTTAGGTTTCAAGCAAATATCTTTAGTGGCTCATGAGATATGATGTTGTACAGGAAGTTGCATGAAAAGATTTAACCAATACTAATTGTGATGCCCATGCAAGGAGTGTAGAGGATAACCTAGCTTTTCTTCAAAAATTGAAGACCTTTAAAGAGCAGTCTTGTTCTGACCCTATGTTGTTTGCTTCACAAGTTCATTATTTGGATATAATATTCTTTATTACTTACATGACAAGTCAAATTAAACGTAATAGTAACAATCATTCCATACCTGCTAATCTTGTCTGACTGATCTGTCATTATTTCTTGCTTCACTAGTGCCTTATTTAAAGTGTCAGAAATCTCATTCATAGAAGCATCTTCAACAAGGAACTTATTCCCTAAGTCCTCAGCCACAGGAGCATCATTTCCAGGGGCAGGAGCCTTTTTCACATAAGCATGTTCAATAAGGACTTTATTCTTGAAGGCCACAGTCGCAACACCCTTATTCACAAGGACATCTTCAACAAGATACTTATCCCTGATGGTGCGTTTCGCAGAAGCATCAGGTACATCTTCCATAAGATAATAACATTTATTCATACAACCCTCACTTGAAGGAGCTTCATTCACAGAAGCATCATCCAGAAGACACTTATCCAAGGCCTCAGTCACAGGAGCTTTATTCACAGAAGCAACTTCCATGAGGTATTTATTCAAAGCCTCTGTCCAAGGAGTTTTATTCACAGAAGCATCTTCCTCAGGATACTTATTCAAGGCCTCAGTCACAGAAGCCTTATTCACAGAAGCATCTCTCATAAGGTACTTATTCAAAGCCTCAGTCCTAGAAGCTTTATTCACAGAAGCATCTTCCACAAGGTACTTTTTCAAGGCCTCAGTCACAGGAGCTTTATTCACAGAATTATCTTCCACAGGATACTTATTCAAGGCCTCAGTCACAGGAGCTTTATTCACAGAAGCATCTTCCACATGATACTTATTCAAGGCCTCAGTCACAGGAGCTTTATTCACAGAAGCATCTTCCACAGGATACTTATTTAAAGCCTGATTCACAGGAGCCTGATTCACAGAAGCATCTTCCACAAAGTACAAAGATTTTTTCCTGAAGGTGTTATTCACACAAGCGTCATTCGCAGGGGCATCTTCCACAAGATAATTCCATGTATTCCTGAAGATTCTAGTCGCAGGAACCTCACTTAAAGAAGCACCTTCAACAGGGATATTATTGTTTGAGATGTTATTTACAGAAGCGTATTTCACTGTGGTAATATCCACAAAGTACTTACATGTACTCCTGATGGGCTCAGTGACGGGAGCCTTATTCACAGAAGCATCCTCCACAAGATACTTATTCATGGAGGTCTCATTCACAAAAGCCTCATTAACATTAGCACTTTCCACAAGGTTCTTATGCATTGAGGTTTCATTCACATGTGCCTCTGTCATACCAGCTTCCTTCTTCACGACCTGAATTACTTGGGTCTCATTTACAGGGGCCTGTTGACTAGCTTTAGGGGCATCCCAAAGTTTCGGTATGTAGTCAGCTCTGTCATGCCTGGAGATTGCATTATAATTTGATAGTAAAATGCAAAAAGTTAAGTTCTTTATGTAACATGTAAAAATAAGTTTTCTTGATAACATTTATTTGTTTTAGTGTACCAGTATTTCAGGGATATATATATATAGATTTTGAAACACAGCAGGTGAGGCGAAGAAGGTGATCTTTCACATAAAACACTTAAATCAGTAAAACGATTAAATCAGGAAGCAATGGAATGTAAAATAGATATATACAGAATCCCTAAAGAAAGCCCAACGCGGCAAAATTGAAAATGTTGCAGACTCGGTTTGATTGAGTCTGTTCATGGACGGTACTAGAAAGTGCAAGTTACTATCCAAACCCCCTAGCACCGGCTTAAGCAGAATTCAACATTTAAACATGAAATAGTAAAATCATATTGATACACTGCACATCGCTCAAGTTTTTCAAATGTGACAATTAGTCTTAATTCAAAATGCTAATTACTATTTAATGTTTAAAATCAACTGTTAGCAAATTTTTGAAAAATCAGTCTGCAAACAGATTCAAAGAGAAAATGGGAAGAAAAAAAAACATTTGCCAAAAAAGAATATTCCTGTATTGCATATGATTCGATTATTTAAACATTATTATGAACACATTGCTTTTCAGTAATCTGATAACCTTCAACATAAGTTTTATTGTTACCATGCATTCATCAGCACATTTGCAAATTGACTGTTAGAATTAACTTGAAGTGAACATTGCAGTTCTCTCCAGCGCGTCCATACATCAGTTTGAAGTGTAATTATCCTATAACTCTCATGCTTCGGTATGTTTCTTCTCTTCAAATATCTAGAAATATGACCGCCATACCTAATTTGTTGATCAAGCTGATGTAAGCTGCAAAAAATACATTTTCTTTATTATTTTGCTTTTAAATACAGTCTATTATAGAGCCCAGCAAATACAAAAGTAGTACAGTAAGAGGCAGCATTTACTTCATCCCTGACATGGGTTCGGACCACTTCCAAACCTCTCACAACATTGGCAGACCTTCTACCACATCACTATATAAAAACTTGAGCAGGGACAAGTAAAGCACCTTCGATTGCTATTAATCTACATAAACATTCTCCAGTTTGCCAAGTGAATATTCACACATTTAGCTTTTTATTTAGGGACACGTGTATGTATGAGTCATTTTTTATCCCCCCCCCCCCAGCCCAAAGATGGGTACCATTGTTGAAGACATAAAATACTCTAGAGACATAAAATATTTGTTTAGTATTTTCTTTCCCTTTTGCAAAAATTTCATATTATTATCCAAAAATTTAAGGGAATTGCCACTTTCTCTATCAGTGAAAAAAATCCTGAATAACTTAAAGTAATAAGAACATGAAAACAAGAAAATTTGCAGAACACAGCTGTACCTTTGGATCAAAAGTCGAGCAAGGTCCTCATCAGATTTACAACATTTCTTTGATTTGATTTTCATCCATCTCCCTGTCATTGAACCTAAATTCACAAATTTTCTTTGCACTTTTGGCATAAAAAACCTTTTTCTTTGTCCAGGACATTTACCATCATCTTGTGAAGATTGGCCAGACATCTTCTATTGGAACATAAAATATATCTAATTACATGTAATTGCAAATTAAAGCATTATCCAGTTACTACTAATGTGTGCAAAGAAAATATAGAAATTTAAAACATGTGCCGAAAAGAATTGTTATAGAGTTTAAACTACTGATGGATGTGTTTTAAATAGGGATGGCAACGAATACCAAAATCAATACTCGAGTACTCGGTCATTTTTCCGATCGAGTACTCGGTTACTCGGATGATTTAAATGATCTTTAAAGTTTTATCACACAATCAATATCAACACCGTCTGTATGCTACTTTCGTTTTCTATTTTAATTCATAGAATTCGTAACTATAAATAGGACTGCAAGAAATATATAAACATAAACATAAGAAATGTCAATGACACCATTTCTTATATTTTAAATAAATTTTCTCCCTAAAATACAGGATGAACGCAAATACGCTTCAATTAACGGATAGAAATTGACAAATACGGTACCATATATGGAAGTGCCGGACTATTTTTGACATTGGTTCCGATCTTAGCTTTGTATAATCGTAGCATTTAAAACGGAAACCAAAATTATAAAAGGCGTGACCGCTTTTGCAAAAATTACGTATTCATCCGTCGGTCATAAATTTACTTCTTTACTTTACTTCTTGACAACTACATTTCATTTTCTGAAATTTCTTATAGTGTAGTATAATGAAAATCATTTATAACTCAAACGAAAAGGTATATAATAAGAAGAAAATTATGTCGTAGAAGCTTTCTGAGCCTATGCATTTTTCTACTCGCAATGTTGGAAAATTGATATCGCGAGATATCAATTTTTCCATCGCTGCTCGTAGCACAACATAATATTCCGTATATATTTACGTTTTTATAATTAACAAGTTTCGGCTACAAACTGTCTAATATTTAAAGGCGATTAAATATTATAAGAGGCCGAATGACGTAAACGACACAGGACTGTGTTCAATCCCATACGCGTGTCAAACTGCTGATCGTCTCGTTAAATTTACGATATCATTTTCACACCTCTGCAAGGATGTTTTATTGCATTTAACAAGTATTTATATAGATACGTGTACATTTCCGAATTTCTGAACTAATCTTTCTAAATCGCAAAAAAGTAGAAATTGAATATTTTTTTCCGAGTAATCGATTATCAATTTTGTTAACCGATATTCGGACGTTCGATCGAGTACTCGGTTAACCGGTTACTCGTTGCCATCCCTAGTTTTAAACATAAAATAATGGTAGTCACAGTAACCTTACAGTTGTTTAGTTTAGGGTTGGATACCAATAACAAGTACTTAGACCATATTGAAAACCATTTCATAATTTACCGGTAAATACTGTTTCAAAAAGTACCGGTTTTTACAAATGTAGTTTTAGCACCAGATGTCTCTGTACTAGTAAATGCAATATCACTTCTATCCAACTCTTACAAGGACAACAAGCAGTCTAACTATTCAATTCTCAAAATATTTTCTGAAGCAGCAAAGATATTTTTAGCACAAGGTATCTAAGATGTCTGGGTACTAGTATATATAATTACCACTTCGATCTTAACTGTTCAGAGACAAAACCATATTTAAACTAAACTAGAAATGTGTCCATAGGACACGGATGCCCCCACACGCCACTGTTCTGTCAATCTTATGATTCTAGGTCAAATATTTTTTGGACAATAGTGCCACAAGTTGAAAACTAAAAATCAACAAAGGGCCATAATTCTGTTAAATTTGGTTGCAGCAAAAATTCCTTACTTTAAAACCATCTACACATTAAGGTTGTTCATCCCTGGAAGTTTAAGCAAAATCTGCCATTTGGTTTAAGAGGAGTTGCATTCACAAAATTTCTACACAGTATATAGTGAAAAAATCAACAAAGGGCCATAATTCTGTAAAATTTGGTCGTAGCGAAAATTCCTTCCTTTACTACCATCTACACCTTAAGATTGTTCATCCCTGTAAGTTTAAGCAAAATCTGCCACCCGGTTTAAGAGGAGTTGCGTTCACAAAATTTCTACATAGTATATAGTGAAAAAATCAACAAAGGGCCATAATTCTGTAAAATTTGGTTGCAACAAAAATTTCTTCCTTTACTACCATCTACACCTGAAGGTTGTTCATCCCTGTAAGTTTAAGCAAAATCTGTCATCCGGTTTAAGAGGAGTTGCGTTCACAAAATTTCTATATAGTATCTAGTAAAAAAATCAACAAAGGGCCATAATTCTGTTAAATTTGGTCACAGCAAAAATTCCTTCCTTTACTACCATCTACATATTGAGGTTGTTCATCCCTGTAAGTTTAAGCAAAATCTGCCATCAGGTTTAAGAGGAGTTGCGTTCACAAGATTTCGGGACGTACGGACGTACGGACGGACGGACTGACGGACGGACGGACAAGTGCAACGCTATATGCACCCACATTGTGGGGGCATAAAAAGATCTATTTCTTAAAATTATTCATGCCCGAGGATTTTCACAGAAATCATAAAACGTTCTTAGTACCACATATCTGAGATTTCTGTGCACCAGTAAGTATTTACAACTTCGTTTACACTCTCCCACGGACAGGACCAGACTGAATCTTTCACACTGTACACGCTCTATTTATAGTTATACGCTGGTGAAGCATCATCCCCAGTGAATACAAGAATTTGTAACAGAGTTACCAACGTCCTCCGCCTTAAGTTAGTTTTGCATGAAGCACAAAATTGTGCTATTTCAAAAAATTGAGGTATGGATCTGGACTTTCAGTGCAAAATTTTGATCAATGTTAGATCTGTACCACAGGGGACCAACACAGTGTTTGGATGGTATATACTGCTTGATGGTGACCTTAAAATGAAATTAAAGTGATAACCTTATAATATGTATATAAATATAGATTTATACACATATGATAAGGTTATGACTTTAAAGATCCTGTATGTTTTGTGATTGATATTGTTACTGTGTGTATACCACATTTGCAAAAAATTATAAATGTACATGTATATAATTATGCAAATAAAACAATTTTCACACATCAAAGAATATGTAAAATGTGTACTGCACATTATATTTAATCAATAAACTACATGCATTCATTTCTTATTGGAAAATTTGACTTAGAATTTATAGAAAATAAATTTCTAATTACCTCCCTTTATTTACATGAAATGTTAAATTGGGTTATATCTTTATCAATAATGCTTATTGGAACTTACAATATTGACAAATCTTAATTTGAGCATCATATTTATGAAATACTAGAACTCCGCGAGTCGGATGTGTCGCCTTGTGAACAATGTAGTTTAGGAGAAATGGCCCGGACAAAAATGAAGTATGAAAAATAACAAAGGGCAATAACTAAAAAAATAATAAGTGCAGAGCAGCAGTTTCTGTGCACTGCACTTTTTATCAATAAGATCTATCATTCTATGATGTTTCAAGTCCATAGGCTTTCATACTTGAGGAGAATGACCAGGACAAAAATAAAGTAAGAAAAAATCAACAAAGGGCAATAACTCAAAATAATAAAGAAATGCAGAGTTCAATTCTTATGCACTGCACTTTTTCTTAATGAGTTATCTATCATCCTATGAAGTTTCAAGTCCATAACTTTTATACTTTCGGAGAAATTGGCCTGGACAAAAATTAAGTATTGAAAATTAACAAAGGACCATAACTCAAAAATAAGAAATTGCAGAAGTACCGGGTTCTTGTGCACTGCCACTTCTTCTTAATGAGATCTATCATCCTATTGAAGTTTCAAGTTCCATAGCTGTTATACTTAAGGAGAAATGGCCCCGACAAAATTAAAGTATGAAAATAAAACAAAGGGCAATACTCAAAAAATAAGAAATGCAGATAGTACCTGTTCTTGTACACTGCACTTCTTCTTAATGAGACCTATCATCCTATGAAGTTTTCAAGTCCATGGCTTTTATACATTAGGGCAATAACTCAAAAAATTAGGAAGTGCAGAGTACCGGTTCTTATGCACTGCACTTCTTCCTTAATGAGATCTATCATCCTATGAAGTTTCAAGTCCATAGCTTTTTTTTTGAAGAGAAATGGCCCGGACAAAATTAAGTGTAAAAAATTAACAAAGGGCAATAACTCAAAAAATAAAGAACTGCCAGACAGAGTACCGGTCCTTGTGCACTGCACTTCGGGTTTATTGAAAGAAGCATGCCATAACCAAGTTTGAAGTTCAATCAGACTTTTTATAGTGACTGAGTTATGCTCCGGACAAGCTTTAGGGGACGCCGACGACGACGCCGACACAGACGCCGCCGCCGCCGCCGACAAAAGTAACCCCTATATGTCACCTTTTCAAGGCGACACAAAAACCATAAAAAATTGTGTTATAGGATCTTTAATCTCATTTTAAGGTCACAATCAAGAATTATACACCATCCAAACACTATGTGGGTCCCTTGACCTGTACATGCCAGTAACTATAAATTCATTTAAGAAATACAATGAAATAACTCCTGTGTATGTGTCACAGAAACAGAACACATGTGTATACTTCTTATCACTATTCCAACGCCACAAAATGTGACAAATACAAAATCAATACAGTATATGGTCTGTTACAGCGTATATTTCGTGTCCAGTCATCAATCAAGGTATGTGGGCAATTCACCAATGATTTTTTATTTTCATGGGCCTGACCTGGCATCGTACCAATCAACAGACTATTTTAGGCTTTGACCTCCAAGTGTGATCTAGACCTTTGTGGTATGGGTTCAGGTGTTGCCCATGACATGTTGTCTTATTATTGTTAACATTTGTGCCTTGATTGAAAAAGTAATATACCACACACAAAATATACTCTAGAACAGACCATGTTAAGCTTTGGCACTCAAGTGCGACTTTGACATTGAAGGTAGGAGTCTGGCTGTTCCATATGACACACAGTGTCATTGTCATTATTGAGAATATTTGTAGCATGTAATTTCAAAATCCCTTGAGCAACAAGAGGCCAAAGATTTCCCTTGATCGCTCATCTGACCCATCAAAGTTCATCCGAGCAATTTACCTTAGACAAGGCAACCTGACCCCAAGTTTCATAACAGTTGAGTAAAAATGTGACCACTTAGAAATTATTAACAAGGTTTTTTCCATATTTTGAGCAGGGTGACCTAGTTTTTAACCCCCAGGTGACCCATATTCAAACTTGACCTAGAAATCATCATAACAAATTTCAGACCAATTTCTAGGATATTTGGATCTAAACTGCAGCCACTTGATTGTCAACAAGGTTTTTCTATTTTTAGCTCATGTGACCTAGTTTTTTTAACAAAGATGACCAATATTCAAACTTGACCTAGAAATCATCAACACAATTTTTCCTAAGCAATTACCAAAATATTTGAATCAAAACTGCAGCCACTAGAGTGTTAACAAGATTTTTTTAAGCCCCTGTGACCTAGTTTTTGACCACAGACAACCCATATTCGAACTTGACCTAAAAATCATCAAAACAACCTTTCGGAGAAATTTCCAAAATATTTGGATCAAAACTTTTGCCACTAGAGTGTTAACAAGATTTGTCTATGTTTAGCTCCTGTGACTTAGTTTTTAAACGGAGATGACCCATATTGTAACTTGACCTAGAAATCATCACAATAACCTTCCTGAACCAATATCCAGGATTTTTTGGAGCAAAACTGCAGCCACAAGAGTGTTAACAAGCTTTTTCTATTTTTTTAGCTCCTGTGACCTAGTTATTTTGCACCGAGATGACCCATGTTCAAACTTTGATCTAGAAAATCATCAAAAAAAAACTTTCATGATCAATCATGAGATCAATCCTCAGAGATATTTTTTGGATTCAAAACTGCAGCCACTTGAGTCTTAACAAGATTTTTTTTCTATTTTTACCTCTTGTGACCTAGTTTTTGACGAGAGACAACCAATATTCCAACTTGACCTAGAAATCATCAAAAACAATTTTCCTGAACCAAATTTCCAGAATATTTTTGATCAAAACGGCAGCCACTAGAGTGTAAACAAAATTTTTTCTATTTTTAGCTCCTGTGACCTAGTTTTTGAATGAAGATGACCGATATTGAAACCTCACCTAGAAATCAACAAAACAACCTTACTGACCAAATTCCACGATATTTCAATCAAAACTGCAGCCACTAGAGTGTTTACAAACTTTTACATTTTTAGCTCTTGTGACCTAGTTTTTGACCAGAGAAGACCCATATTAAAACTTGACCTAGAAATCATCAAAACAATCTTTCTGATCAGCTTCCAGGACATTTGAATTAAAACTGCAGCCACTAGAGTGTTAACAAGCTTTTTCTATTTTTCGCTCCTGTGACCTATTTTTTTTACCAGAGACAACCCATATTAGATCTTGATCAAGAAATCATTAACCTTCCTGACCCAAATTTTTTCCCGAAATTTTGGGTTTTTAAAAAAGCAGAAACTCCTAAAAAAAGGGGTTTAAAAAAAGCTTTTTTAAATTTTTTTAAATTTTCCCCGTTTTTAAACCTGATTTTTTGAAACCAAAAAATGACTTTAAAATTTTAACTTTAAAATTCATTTTAGACAAAAATTGTGACGTTTGATTTAATTTATTCCCCAAACAAAAATCCTGACGGCCCTTTGAGTGTTTTAAAAAACCCAATTGTTTGGGTTTTTGCACGAAAGCACAATGATTGGGGAAAAACGGAAAGCTGGAAAATAGCCCCCCTTCGTTTGGTTTTTGATGAGGGGTTTTAAAAAAAACAACAAGGGCCCCAAAAAGTTTTTATCTGCCAAATGCATTTTTTGGGTTTTTAAGCAAATTTTAAACCAGTTTCCCGTTTTTAAAAGGCCCATCTTACTTCCCAAAATGTGAAATTTCTATTTCTCCAAAAAAAAATTTTTATTTTTGTAACCCTTTTTACAGTTTTTCAAAAATTACCCCCCCTTTGGGCCCTAAAATTTTAAAAAAAACAATATTTTTCTTCCTTTTTGCAGTGTTTTTGGAAAAATTGGCCCAAAAAATTATAGTGAAAATTTGTTTTTTTTGTTATTGGAAAATCCCAAAAATTTCCCACTTTGTTTTTTATTTTGCTTAAACCCTTTTCGACACATTACTGCCCAAATTTAGCACTACTTTTTTTCAGTATCCCAAACATGTTACATTTTTCTAAATTTTATTTTTTTAAAAAAATTATTCAATACATATTTTTAAAATTTTAAAGAATTTTTTTAAAAAATAGAAATTTTGAGGATTTTAATTTTTGCCTTTAAAACACTACCCACTTTGCCAATTTTCTTTCCCGTTAAAAATTTAAATACCACCATTGGCCTGTGAAAAAATTTAGCAGAAAATAGGGAAGAGATATTTTAGAGTTAGAAAATAAAATGTAAGGAAAAAAACTTACTTGATTTTTTCTCTTTTTTTCAAGTAGAGGCTTCTGGAAGAATGTCTTCTCACTTGTGAAAGGCTTGTTTGACTGTAGCAGGAAAGATGGTGGGCACAGCATCGGTCTTTAATGTTCTCCTGAAACTTCCCTCTTATAACCAATTGACTCTAAAAAAATGCTGAACTGTGTGTAAACTGGTTTTTTCTCTTCAAAGTGTAAAGAAAACACAAACCGAACTGTTTTTATTTGGAGAATAAACCTTGAATTTATTAACACAGCTAGCTCGGCCCATCCTACTGCACCAAACTTTTCGAAGTTTTTTGTCTTTTGGAAAGCGAAAAAAGTTCACTTTATCACGTCCAGAGAGTGAATTACAGCCAAAGGCGGCACACAAAACCATATTTCATCTATATTTACAAATCCAAAGAACACGATGAGACACTTTAAACATAAATCCAAAGTATAATGTCCGTTACCGTATAAAAATATTTGATGAAAATCTGCAAGTAATCTGTAAGTAATGTCGTAAGCCCATTGAATTGTTTCAGGATACAGACACAGGTGCTTGAAACAAACTTTTTAAAGTTTTATATGGGCTATACAGTATACTATAATAAGATCTTTATATACATATTCTGTCATATATAGACCGGTTATGTAAAATATTTGATTATGTGACTAGCGCCTGTGCGATACAGACGGAAAGCCCCCCCCCCCCCCCCCCCCCTCCCCCCCCCCCCCCCCCCCCCCCCCCCCCCCCCCCCCCCCGATCTAAAAATGACAAGGGACAACCCCCATAAGATTTAAATTTTTTAAAGTACAAAACTGTAATAAAAAGATTCTTTTGAACAGTGTGAATTTGACCCTTTAACAGCTAAGGAAGTGGCTAGTCGTACGGGCCCGTACGGCTAGCCAAAAAGTTCTAGCCGTACGTGAGTCACGTACGGACTAGCCAGGACTCGCTGTATTTGTCTAGCCGTACGGCACTTTTCAAAATTATATAGAAGTCGACCATATGCATATGTTATTTTGTGCCTCATGATTATGATTTGTTGTTTTATTTGACTGAAAGATGTTTTTTTGTTAATTAAGCACATGGATCGAATAAATAATGATCGGAGTGAAATAAATAAATAAATACATAGAACATTGAAAAAAAAAAAAACGGTGTTGAAAAGCCAAAAATAATTGTATAATTTTCAAATACAGTAGATAAATATCGAACATAAAAGCACAAACAATTAATAAGCCATAAATAAAGCCTACCCAGGGACTGACAATAGAATTTTAAAATGCGTTTCACGGAACATGCAAACTTTCCTTAATGATGGACAAACTTCTATACCCTCGTATTAAATTGACGCAAAATATCAGAGCCTAACATTGATTTTTTTTTTTCATTTTAAAGGTGTCGAAAATTAAACTTTATGAAACAAAAAAGGATTATTATCAAAATTTTGTAAACTATGTTATTTAACTGCGACCTAACGCTATTTTTTTCTCGATGTCTTGAAATGATAAAAAATCGATATTCGTACTTCTTTTACTGTAGCCAAACAAGGCGATTAATCTCTATTTCAAGTAAAATATACGAAGACACAATTACTATTTCATGGTTAATTTAAAATCCTCGCTTAAAGTCATGAAAAAACATATATGTATAATTTCGACTTCTATATAAATTTGAAAAGTGCCGTACGGCTAGACAATACAGTGTGTCCTGGCTAGTCGTACGTGACTCACGTACGGCTAGAACTTTTGGCTAGCCGTACGGGCCCGTACGGCTAGCCACTTCCAACAGCTAAAGCCTTAATTTTGATACATTCTACATGTTTTATGTTGAAAAAAAGAGCAACATGCCACTCTATCCAACTGAATGCAAGTTTGCAATTGTTGATATACTTTTAGTTTAGAGCTTGTTTTCATGCAACCTAAATTTCCTTGCTTGTTTTACCTGTAATGTAACTGTGTAAGGCTGTTGTTTCTAAATGGGCAAATGGCGTCAAAATTTGTAAGGGGAGCAACTCGGACATGGATGATATTTTTTTGTTCCTTCTTGCCCGAATTTATGTAATATATAGAGGATATTTGTTTGTTTGTGTGTAAGATGAAATTTTATTTCATCGAGTGGGCTTTAAAAACAGTATTCTCACTCGTGGCGTAGCGAGAATACTGTTTTTAAAGTTAACGAGATGAAATAAAATTACATCTTACACAACAAACAAACAAATTTTCTTTTTATTTTATGCTAAAAAAACAAGTTAAAACGAAATTTCCATAATATTAACGTAAATATTAAAATCTGTTTTCCCCATTGAGAGCCCCATTTAGTCGGAATTTCTCATTAAAAACAAGAAGTCTTGAGCTGAAAAATAAGTCCGACAATCACATTAAATGACAGTGATATTATTTATTTTGTTAAAAAAATATGAATGATCGTTTGTTTTAATAATAAAAACAAACAATTCTTGTAGGGAGAAAAAATTCCAACCATCCATCCGTATTTCTGTTTACTTTACTGCGAATTTATATTAGACCTGGCTTTGTTAAATGTAAGCGGGCAGCCATTTTTTAAAGTTGTGTATTTCACGGGAGGAAAATAATTGTGTTTTTCAGAGGGATATCATTTGATTTGTTAGTCATACACCTTTTTAAAAAGAAAAAAAAACATATTTGAGGATTAAAACAGACAAAAAAAAATAAGTGTTGACATATGTGGAAAACAAGAAAAAAAAGCAGCTATGAAAATGGAAAAACTTGGAACTTGCTCCGAACGCTGGGTATTTAACTTGTTCTACGAGCTGATAGCTGTCATTGCTTTTTTCAACTTTTTTCATAAAGCATACGGCAGTTATTGCTTGTAGGATACTTTAATATGCCCCAAATGTCACCAAGAGCAGTTGCATGTGGAAGGAATGTATTTTTCAAGACTGTAAAAATGAAACAAACAAAATTTAGAAATGAAACTTGGTGATTGGTATTTTGAATGAATAGAAGTAAAGATTTTTCTTCTTTTTTATTACTTTTTGACATTTAAGTTATTATCCCAATTTCAGCTTTGCGTTTCTTTAAACAGCCTTTTGACATTGTCAGAAAATTGTTAGCAAAAAAAAATTGAGGTACCCCATGGGAAAAATCTTAAAAAAAGTAGTTTCGGCATTGAAAAGTGTGAAATTATATTTTGATAATTTTCACTGTAAAATTATCAAATATAATTTTCACGGATAAATCAGTAATCCACTGAAAAGCATAAAATAAAAATCCGTGCTTCTTGTGTTATTTTTTTTCTTCGTTTTAATAATACCCAATGATGACTATTATCTATTTGTCCATAATAGTGAGTAATGTTTATGATTCATAAGTCGGAGAGACAAAAATCCCAGAGACGTTGTCTCAGCCAGAAAGAAACTAATAAAATATTCACAAAACTCAACATGCTTCTTTAATTTGCTGCAATATTTGCGTATTTTGATGCTGTCTGACAAACCAGCCGTCAAGAAAGTTCAACATAAATATTCTGCCGTGCATTACAGTTCCACTGCTTTCTGAATACTAAGCTTCCTCCACCCTATAATTTTTATCCGTCCTCGAATTTCTGATTGGTACAGGTTATATCAATTTTCTCAGAGCAATTTACCATCAAGGTTTACTTCTATGAGCTAAACCTTACAAAGTGAAAACATAGCTTTTGATGTATCCACATACTGCCAGTTTTCAATCACAACCACTTTTCAATCATCCCTAGAATTTTTTTTATTTTTGACCTTATTTGTCATGTAACCAAACTGTAAGCACATCTTGCATTCACCTTGACTACATTTATTAGCAGCAATGTCAATTATGGCGATAAAAAAGAAAATGCTAGCATTTTATTTCAAAATATGTGAAATGTGTGTTTTCCACTAATCCTTTATTTAGCCAGTTACAAATCACAATAATTTTCTATAAATAATTGATTTACAGACTCAGTTTTTTGTCAGTCTGCTGAAACGGACATTAAGTTGGACAACTGTTTCAATATCATGAAGTCATAATATATACTGCACTTCAAAAGCTATAATTTTAATATGTACATATTTTACCATACAATTCTTAATTGGAAGGTAATACATCAGTAAAGTAACAGTCACTTAAACAAGGAAAAACATTCTCTTTGGTAACTTTTCAGTAAGCAGTCACTAGAATGGTGTCATATAGACCTTAAGATCCTAAAAAATTCTTGAGAACATGCTTTTTCAGTTATGCAAATTAAAATGTACATCCATACCCCAATTGTGACAGCTTTACCACTGCAAATAGATATCAAGATTAAAAAATGGCATTATAATTAGGTTAAACTTGTTTATTACAATTTATCTGAAGTTGAGTTTGTCAAAATTTCTCCATAATACATAACTAATTAAATTTTAACATTGTATGACAATTTTTATGTGGTACAGTTTATATTTTGTTAACTGCCCTTAGGAAAAGGAAAGGCATTTAACTTGCAGTTATTTAGCATTGTTTTTCTGACCAGTTTTAACCATTTATTAAGCAGTTTTCCTTGACAAATGTGATTATGTAGAAAGCATTTAAAATGCAGTTAAAATGCATTTAAAATGCAGTTATTTAGCATTGAAAAAGCATTGAAATCAGCCGAAATATGTAAATGAGATGACATCATAAAACTGCCTCCAAATATGGAGATAGCATTTCCAACCATTTATATGATCTCATAAATAACTGCCAAAAAAATTGTGTTTGCATTTTCAACCATTTATATGACATCATTAAAAAACTTTCAAAAAACTACTGAAGCCTTTATATGACCTCATAAATAACTGCAAAAAAACTTTCAAAAAACTGTTGCATTTATTTGAGCTAATATAAATAGCCAGTCTAGCTGCTGGTGGGATTTTGACCACAATTCGCAGGAGTGATCAGTCCCCCTGTGAAATGAATGCTTACAGTTCATGAATAATTCATGAAGTATTCATTCTAGTTCATGACCTAGATTCATGAATAGTTCATGGGATGTACATGAAGACAAAATGGCACAAAT